GAAGAAGAAGAAGAAGAAGAAGAAGAAGAAGAAGAAGAAGAAGAAGAAGAAGAAGAAGAAGAAGAAGAAGAAGAAGAAGAAGAAGAAGAAGAAGAACAGATTCAAGCGGCCATGAAGGTCTGTCGCATGGGCCGATCGACTAGACTACGCTCGAATGCTATCCTTTGACCAGCGACAAATTCGACCACGGCATGATAGAGCAAGAGTCATGGCTCAACACACATGTCATAACCACAGTCCAAGCTTGACTTATGTCGCTGAGACAGGGAGCTTGGCCCAGTCTGACTTGCGGTGAACCGATGGGGGAGGGGTGGCGACATGCTTCTTGATAAGGTCTGGTAGTTTGGTGGGGGGCGTGCCGCGTGTGCCGAGCTGAGACTTTGCGAGCCACAACTCGTGGTCCACGAGAGAAGACCGCATTTTGTCACGTCGCGGACTCGGCCGAGGAGCGTGACGCGCTGACACATTGCATGGCGCCCAATCGAGACAAACATTGGCGTCTGTACCCAAAAGAATCTGCCTTGAAGAGAATCTTTCGACATCACCAAACCGTTCTGGCCGCGAACGCAGGTTAGCCCCTCGCGACTTGACAGCCATAGCGGCACGCTGCACCCCCCACGTGTCGCGCTAGGAGGGGTTTCCTTCCGACACAAGCTTTTACACGACTTGACGAGAAAGCTTAAGAAAAGCTTGGTGAGCTGCCTCTTGAGCTTGTCAGACCTTGACGAATCGTAGATCTCGGAAGCATCCCGTGTACACTTTCCCCAGGTCTGGCCAAGTGAGCCTATCTGCAGCTATGCAAAGACATCCATAGCTTCTTACGCGTCCGCGGAAACGGGTCGTGTGGCGTTTGATCCTGTGGCATATATAGATCTTGTACCCTTGCCCGACTTGCTCATTGCCCAGCGTTCTCACACAGATTTCTTGCATTAGTTCCTTGGCTTCGAGTCGTCGACCAAGCGCGACCATGACGATCAAAGACATCTTGCGTCCAGGTGCTCTGCAGCCTTCCATCGAGAAGTCGGACGTCGCTGAGCGTGTTCACGAAACGCCCGTCGAAGTGTCCACAAAGACCTGGTGGCAGCGACGCGCTCCCGTCATTGCTTGTGGCTCTGGACTCTTCTCCGACGGATATCTCAATGGAGTAAGAATCTTTTTTATTTTGTTACAAGCATTGCCTAACATGTTCTCAAGGTCATCGGATCAGTAAACACTATCCTCAAGAAGCTCTACAAGCAAGAGTATAAGCATAGTAATGCCCAAAGCAACATTACTTCGCTTGTCTTCGTTGGCGAAGTTGTGGGCATCATCATCTTTGGCTACACCTCCGATCGCTTCTCTCGCAAATGGTCCATCTTCGCGTCCACTGTCATTCTGGTATGCATTTTGAACCTCGAAACCATCGTAGACTTTCGCTAATATCCACCAGTTCGTTTTTGCTGCTCTTGCTGCCGGCTCCTACGGAGCTCATGGTAGCATAAACGGTATGCTTTCCGCTCTTGCTGCTTACCGCTTCCTCCTTGGCATCGGTATCGGTGGTGAATACCCGGCTGGATCTGTCGGCTGCTCCGAAAGTACTGGCGAGCTGGAGTCTGGTACCCGCAACAGATGGTTCATCTGGTTCACCAACTTGGCAATCGATGCAGGGTTCGTCGTGGCTGCGTTCGTCCCTATGGTCGTGGTAAGTGTTCTCGAGCGCTGTTTTGATTCGCTAGAGCTTACAAGACGCACAGGTCCTCGCTACTGGGCAGGACCATCTCCATGCCGCCTGGCGCATCATGCTTGGCATAGGTGTAATTCCTCCTCTCTCTTTGTTCTACATGAGATACAAGCTCCAAGAACCTGAAGCGTACAGGAGAAACACAATGGCCAAGTGCAAGACCCCTTGGAAGCTCATCATCAAGAAGTACTGGTTCCGTTTGCTTGTTGTTTCGACCATCTGGTTCATCTACGACTATTCGTCATACGCTTTCGGAACATACTCTGCCCCAAGTGTCGACAATGTACTCGGTGCTGATGCGCCTATGTGGAAGACTTTTGGCTGGAACACAGTCATCAACCTCTTCTACATCCCTGGCGCGTTCGCTGGGTCGTACGTTTCCGACTGGATTGGACCCAGAAAAGCTCTTGCCTACGGAGTTACCGCACAGGCTGTGGTTGGTTTCATCATGGCCGGATGCTATGAAAAACTCGCCATCCCAAAGAACATCGGAGGCTTCTGCGTGGTCTACGGCATCTTCTTGTCGCTTGGAGAACGTAAGTTTTTTCAATGACACCCCCACTAAACAGCAAGATGCTAATATTCCCGCAGTTGGGCCTGGTGACAATATTGGTCTCATCGCATCCAAGACTTCTGCTACCGCCGTAAGAGGTCGCTACTATGCAGTAGCCGCAGCCTTTGGAAAGATCGGTGCTTTCATTGGCAACTATCTCTACCCAATCCTCGTGGCTGATGCAGGGGACAATGTCGTCAAAGGCAACCAATATCCCTTCTGGGTAGCCTCGTCTCTCTGCATTCTGAGTGCCTTCCTGGCTTTCTTCTGCTTGCCTGAAATTGGCCAAGATACCATCGATCACGAGGATGCCGTTTTCAAGAGTTATCTTCTTGAGCACGGTTGGGATATCTCGCGTATGGGTCTTGCTGGCGCTGCTGCTCCTGCTGAATCTGATGCAGAGAGCTCGCAGTACAATGCTGGGAAGACAGAGCAGTAATGGCTGTGTAGTCGGTCAAAGCACGTGTACGTCAGAACAGATGCAGCGTGTTGTCTCGTTGTGGAATTCTAGCACTTCGATCATGATATCCAAAAGTTTTATATCCCGTCTGCAGGTTGAATCTTCGCAATCCAAGCGACGTACTTCACATCCCTTGACGGCCATACTCCAAGTTGACAATGGAACATTGATCTGGCACACATCGTAATTTCACATGTCGACACCTTGTGCTTGACCGCGACGCCCCACGAGAAGATGACATCTGCATAAGCTGCTCTGGCGCAACAGCATCCTGCCATTGTACGACATGGCCGTTTTGCTCTTGGACTGACTCCCGTAGTCGAGCAATATGCGACACTCGAGATGTCAGACAATGTCCCCTCTTGATTAGCTTGAGGCTGCAAGATTAGCAAAGTTTCGGGCTGTACCGTCAGTATCTGCAGGGACGAAAAGCACAAGGATGGGGGACTGCTTCGTGCCACTTGCCACAGATAAGGTTGACATGCCGTTTTCCAGCCGCTACATCTTGCTTCCTGCCGAGCGAGAGAAGAAGTATCCACATGGGTAAATCTGTGAGAACGAAGCCGTGCCGATATCCGGACGAGGACATCTTACAGCCAAAGAGAACGTCGACGATCACGCACGTGTTCAATGTCTCTAGACTGCAAAATTTTTAGACTGTTGCAAAGTGGAGTTTCTTGATTCTCAACACTCGTGTAAGGAAGTATATGTCAATCTCCATGTCGCATGGGGCGATTGTGTACTGCAGGGCTGCACGTGTGGTACAATCGCAATTTCTAGTGGCTATGAGCTCCTGAAGAACGCGTGGAGGGAACTCTAAAGACTTTGGTGTTTATTGCCAGACTTGCAGTACTTGACTATAATAGTCCGGCACCACCAGTGAAGATTTCCATTCTTCAAACTGGTCAAACCTTCGAAGCACCTACGCCTCAAAGCTTGTTGCCACGACATGGAAGGGCCAGCAATATCTGATGCTGCGCGCGAGGACAGCAACCCCAAGCATCAGTTACCTCATACCTCGACTGAGGTGAGCTCGCAATCTGGAAGCGCCGTGGACACCAGGACTGCACGACAAAGGCTCAGTGACATCTTCACCATCTTTGCCAGTGGTGCCGCTCTCATCAGCGATGGCTACCAAAACAACTTGATGACAATGACCAACGTCGCATTGCGCAAGGAGTATCCAAAGCAATACACATCGTACTACAGCACTGCCGTCTCGAATGCTTTGCTAGTCGGTGAAGTCTTTGGCCAAGTCGTCGTCGGACTCACCTGCGACTACCTCGGTCGCAAATTTGCGATCATCGTCACCACTTTGATGATCGTCATTGGAGGCATCCTAGCGACCGCGGCTTCGGGCACAACTATACACGGCATGTTCTGGATGTTGATCGTGGCGCGCGGTATCGTCGGCTTTGGAACCGGCGGCGAGTATCCTGCAAGTTCGACTTCTGCGAGCGAAGCTGCGAACGAACAGAACCTGAAGCAGCGAGGTCCGCTGTTCATCTTGGTCACCAACTTGCCGCTGTCAGCCGGCGGACCTCTTGCGGTGTCAATCTTCCTTATCGTCCTGTCTGCGGCTGGTCAGAATCATCTCGGAACTGTCTGGCGGGTGTGTATGGGTATTGGCTGCCTGTTGCCCTTGTCTGTCTTTTATTTCCGCATAAAAATGCTCAACTCGAAACTCTACCGCCGTGGTGCGATCAAGAAGCGTGTGCCATACACTCTGGTTCTGCGCTACTACTGGAAGCGGCTTCTCGGTACCTGCGGTGCATGGTTCTTGTACGACTTCATCACCTTCCCTAATGGAGTATTTTCGGCGACAATCTTGAGTGGTGTTGTCAAGAAGGGACCTAACAATGTCCGATCGACAGCTGAATGGCAATTGTTGCTCGGAGCGATCGCCCTGCCTGGTGTGATTATTGGTGCTTATCTTTGCAATCGCATCGGACGCAAGAATACCATGATGCTAGGATTTGGTGGCTACCTTGTCTTTGGACTGATCATTGGCTGTGCTTATGAGAAGATCACCAAGATTCTACCTCTGTTCGTCATCTTCTATGGATTGATGCAAAGCTTGGGTAACATGGGACCCGGAGACATGCTCGGGCTACTCTCGAGCGAGAGTTATGCTACAGCAGTGCGCGGCACCTGTTATGGTATCTCCGCAGCTCTGGGGAAGACTGGTGCAGCTGTGGGTACCCAGGCTTTTACGCCGATCCAGGTTCACCTTGGAAAGAGATGGACCTTCATCATTGCGGCTATTTGTGGCGTAGCCGGTATCCTGGTGACTTACTTCTTCGTGCCTGATCTTAAGGGAGATGATCTTGCGCAGGAAGATGAGAGGTTCAGAGCATATCTCGTATCCAAGGAATGGCACGGAGAGATGGGTGAAGATGATCTGAGGGCTCTTGCTGATGAGGGGGTCTCACTAGCTATGGTCGAGGATGTACAGAAAGCTTAGAACAGCGATCATGATTTCTTGAGTAAGCTCTATTGAAGCAGTCGACGTAACAAGCGCATATAGGTTGTACCAAGCAAAATCCTTAGCTCTATCTTTATATATATCCTTCTTGAAGGACGGACCCCGTGGAGCCACTTCAGCGTAGTGGAATCCCTTCTCTAGGAGACAGACAGAGCAGAGGACAACTGGCCCCTGAGATTCCCGTCCGCATCAGTGTCAGGGTAACAGACCTCAACTTCGACTCCCTGATCAGCGCAATCGCCGGATGACCCACGTAGCAAAGAGTGTAGGGCGTGTAGACGAGATAGCCAGTGCCACCTTCGGGGATCGGGAAGCGACGTGCGCTCGAATAACTTGAAGATTCTGTGAAATCAACTCCGACGGACGCCGAGATAACTCCCCATGGATCGCCTGCTTCCGGATCAGCAAGTAGTTTTCTCAGGCTCAGATACAGTTTAGCTTACCAACAGATAGCGAGACACTTAGGGTGCGACTTTGGGTCGCGGTCTTGGTGACTGTAGCTTCGCACTCTTCAATAGGGCCGCAACCTGTGTCCTCGGAAACTCGCTGACTCTGTCCGATGCTTGTGTAAGGCCCTTCTGTGACAACAAACTCTCCGCAGTCGCGCTTTGTATGCTTAGTCGCTCCGACAAGCGGAGGGCCCTGTTCATATGGGCTGATGGCCTCTCCGGTGGTTGTGTTTTTTAGGTAAAGCGCACCCCCTGATGCGGAGCGTGAGAAGATATCGCTGCGCTTGGTAGCCGCTGCTTCGCAGTCACCAGGACCACAACAGAACTGGAGCATGAAAGTCGACGACAAAGCCACACGCTGGCAAGCAGCTCCACCGACGGACAGTAGAGTTCTACCACATTCGTCCATCGAGCGACCAGCTGGGCTTCTAAGAACGAACTTGCAGCCTGGGCCAGGGTCAGGAAAACTGAAAAAGGCGAATTTCTGCCCATTCCCATCTGGTCTGATACCAGTCAGTCAGCGTTGACAGTCAGACACCTTGCAGATAATCACGTACGTGAGGATGTTGTCATAGATTGACTCTGTAGTGTCGTACACAAGACATTCTGGGTAGCCTTTGTGGTGACGTGAGTGCGCTGGACAGACTGGCGGCGATCATTGTTATACATACCAGAACCGTACTCAAGACTCATGGGACAGCCCGAAAGATCGCAAGTGTTCCCGGAACAGAGCCATTAGACTCCATCGGACTGGCGCTTCGAAGGGTGGTCAACCTCGAAATGGGGCAGAGCATTGGCCACAGAGATGAGAAGCGGTAACGCACGAACAATTTGCATCTTGTAGAATACGCAATTGGATAGACTTGCAGATTGTAGATGATGTGGAGTGAATCTGGTTTGGAAGAACGAGAAGACATGCTCTTATAGGAAGGCGTACAACTGCGGGCGGGAAAAGCAGCATACGTCGTCGTTACATCAGATCCATGTCATTCATTGGCATATCCACTCCTGAAGGATTACTCGTGGGTCAACGTCAATTATCAATGAGTATGTTCAACGCTGGTATTCCTTCGTCCAGGGGGTCATGTGGCCAAGCGGTATATCGCGCGCTTGTCGGGAGGTCGAGAAGCCGCCCAAGGCAAAGCAGCGGGCCAACAATGCGGAAAGGGGGTACCCTGCCGACGTATGTACGCTCTACCACCAGTGAGTCGATGAGCTGAGCCATCTGATCATCTTGGCGTAGTCTCTGAACACCACATGGCGGTACGAATTTCGTCGGCGATCGGAATGGGATCTCGTAATATCTGCGGGCAGCTGGGCGGGCAAACCGAACCCCAGCTCTCTACACGCATATCAGCCTAGTGGAGGCTAGTGACAAGCCGCTCCTCCAAGGTCCTAGTATCCTCGATGATGAGCCGAGACGACTGACGCTCTCAATTAACAGATCATGGCCGTTCCTTCGGCCGAGTCGAGCGACTCGAAGAGTAGTGTCGAATATGGTTGATGTAGAGGCAGAGCTGCACAACTATGAGCACAAGAATGTGATGATATAACCTCACAAGCCTCATTGAGTCAAACCATCATCCACGCGAGCAAGTATGGCTACCCGCTTGCGCACATCCTGGGAAAACCCATGTCGTACAAAAGTCTTTCTGAGTGATATATGGACAATGTAGACGTGCGAAGATGATCAGCAATTCGGGTCTGACGATCCCCACTGGAGGTCAAAGCATTAGATCCGACAGCCGGACTACGTCCGTACCTGACCCCTTGGCGCAGATTGGCAGCGATAGCCAAGAAATACTGAGTGGACCTACAGCCTACGCGGATCTTGGCAACAGCACACCATGACGCACATCAATCCTTACAACACCAGATGGATGGAAAATTGCACGTTGTGAATTGATTCTGAGTCTCCCGAAGAAGGCATTATAAGGTGTGCCGAGCATGCACCGGTTGCTACGGACGGAGATGAAAGTTCAATCACATAAAGGATGCTGCTCATCATCATGTCCAAGATTCCGAATACCCAATAGTGTCCTAAACAATACTTCACAACTATGACCACGACCACCACCTGCTCGGCTGCACCGAGATATACATGTCCGACAGGAAATTTTGTATGCGATATCAGCACAGAAAAATCACTTAACAACCTCACCGGACTGAGGGACAGAGGGTGTGCAAAGTCAGTCTACCACCCACAATAGTGAATGGCACCCTCCTCTCAGACCTGGCACTCTGCTGCGTCGACCCAAATCCGGCAACGATCCGCGTACAAGACAATTGTGTCCATTACTGCACCTCGAACCAGACAAACTTCAACAAGTGCATTCACAACTTTCTGCCTACTGGATTTCTTGGGTTCTGTCAGAATGTTTCCGAACAAGTTGAGACTGGTGAGTAGATGACGAGACGCCCTATGACTTCAAACGGGCTGGTTAACATGAGTGTGATAGGACAAGGGGAGATGCGGCGAACCAGATTGGATTGGGGTTCATTAGCTATGGTGATCTTGTCTGTCATAGTTGTCTTCACATAATAGCATACCTTCCATCAGGTAGCATACTAGTATGGGAAAATCTCCTCACAATTGACAAGATCAAGCCAGTGATCACATGATTGTACACTACTTTCTGTGCCGAACAAAACTAATGATGGCAATGGCAATCCCTCCAGAGACTCTATTGCCGCGTTTTCTACTTACACGGACTGCCATCATCTATGTAAGTATCCGTGTTGTGATCATGTCTACGCTCTGGGATGGACCCAAAGTTTTCTCTCCCCGCAGAGACTCGATATAGAAACAGGTGACAACCTGTAAACCCTGCCTAATCTGAAAACATGCGTGACGATCCCACGCTCTAAGAGTGAGAGCGTCAGGTGCTTTGAAGTGCTCCCTGTGTTTTGTCAAGTAGTAGATCAGACTTATGCTTATAGGCCAGTGAAACCTGCTTCCACGTCTTGACCGCCTTCGAAATCTGTAGAGGATCCAGAGCTAATGCGCGTACGACAGATATAGGGCCTTAACGTACTAGAAGGTCTTAAGTGTGCCAGTGGAAACGCTGTGAGGACCTGGTTTCGAAGCTTGAGTTTTGGATCTGGAGTATGGTCAAACAAGCTTGCTATATATCATCCTTATCGCTTTGTTAGATGGACCCATCAGGCCCAGGGGAAATGCTCGGGAAGCGATACGTCAGCTTTAGGCGGCGAACGATATTTCTGGTCAAAAACATTGTAAGGAGTTGAGTCGGCACTGAATCTCTTGTCGAAGGTAGCTTTGAGTCCCAGAACGGCTTTCAATTTGTCGAAGCTGACGTCCTTGCTCTTCAGGCCAACGCTTTGAACAAAGTCTCCGATTCCATATCTCGCCGCACAGAACGTCATCTTTGTTGCATCAGTCCGTTACAAAGGTATGACCCTCATGTCCTGATGGAGGTCAGCATCTTAGATGTTTAGTGGTTTTTTTATGTCGAAAAAGGTTGTGTGTGCGACGTCAGCTATGTCCATATCAGTGCACAGGTTGGTGTAGTGACGGTTAATGAGTGCATCTGATCTTGCGCCGTTGACAGCGCTGACAGCTGTGATCGCGACTGAGAGAGGCCGATGTTGGAAGCAGTGACGGATAACCACAGGGCCGAATTCCGTGCGTCTCAGAAGGCCTAATCATTCTACAAGGTGGAGTGGTTGGGAGGGAAAGGGGCGGACAGCCTTTGCTTGCTATGGGAAGCGGAGATGCGGGACCGGCTCCCATTTTTTCAATCCCGCTCTCGTCGGACAATCACTCAGGGCTCAGAGCCTCCCTCACTTTACATCCAGCATTTGTCAAATCAATCTTCGCGTTGGGAACACTAGTCATTACAAGTCCATCACCCGTCTCCAATTGATTCTTCGCCATGTCGCAGACTATCCTAGATGACTAAGTAACCGGACAACACCTTGATATCTTCTTAATGTGCTGCTCGCTCTGAGATCTTCTGCCAAGCAGGACGATCTTGCAGTCTTTTCCCCCAAGCCTTGACGTTCTCGCGGGAAGAAATTTCATCCTGGAGCCCGATTCGCGGGAGGAAAGCGAGCCAGGGAACATGGAAGAGGTCAACCAATGTTGCATGCTGTCGAGTATCTACCTGTCAGAAGACGGTGGTGATGAGTTGAGTACTCGATTTACTTACCCTTCCAGCGACGAAGTCTTGGCTTGCAAGAATCCTCTCGTAGTAATCAAGGCATTCTTTGAGATTGTTCTCGAGAGAGGCGACCGTGGCGGCATCTGGATCGCCATGACCCATCATGCTACAAAAGTCAGCACAGAAACACGCAGAGTATAGAATGGAAGCGCTTACTTCTTAAACGATCTCTCATATGCGAGCTTGGTGACGATGGGGTCAAGGTAAGAAAACTCCACCGATGCAGCCTGCTCGAAGGCGCCAACGTCTCTGGCCTCTTTGGGGAGGGATAGTTCAGAGCATATCCTACTGGTGTGTTGTCGCTTTTACGGCAGATCGCTTTGCTTCAGAAGATGAACGCGTCTTCTTGGTCGGTGACGCATGTCACGTAATGCCACCAACAGGAGGCATGGGAGGTAATACTGGCGTGGCGGTGAGTATGAACACGATTGCGATACTCTTGAACGTCGGCTGACATGATTCTTTCTAGGGTGCATACAATTTTGCTTGGAAGCTTGCATATGTGCTCAAAGGCTACGCGTCTCCGGATCTACTGACAACGTACAACCAAGAGCGGTAACCAGGGGCAAACTTCTTCGTGCAGCAGGCGTTCGTCAGACTTGTCAGCAGAGTCTTCCACGGCAAAGGGTATGACCATGAGCCAGAACTCCCGGATATCATGTGTGAATTGGGTGACCGGTATACGGAAGGTGCGATCTGTCCAACAGACGATGCGAACTTTACAGAGTCTGTTGAGGATTCATACAAGCCATATGCGCTGCCTGGAGGTAGGATTCCGCATGTTGCACTCACATCAACCCAAGGTCAACTTTCCAGTCTGGATCTGATCAAACAAAATTTTGTACTTTTCACCACCGAAACCGATTCTCCGTGGCTAGAGGCCGCCAAAAAGCAGATCATGCCTATCGACGCTTTTGCCATCAACGCGTCATCCGCTTATAGGGATAAGAATGGTGCTGCAATAGAGGCATGGAAACTTACAGGTGACGAAGCACTACTTGTACGACCTGATGGAATTATTGCGTGGAGGTCAGGGTTGAATGAGAGTCGCCATGAAGAAAAATTGAAGCAGGCTTTGGACATTATCCTAGGACTGTAGCAAACGTAAGCTAGAGAGATTGTTATGAGATTATACTCGAGACTCCCATCCCGGATCTCACCCGGGATGATGTGACTTGTTGTTGGTGATTTAGGGAGTGCTAACGTGTGCAGGTAAACAAGCCCACGAATCTGAGTCAAAGAGTCGGCATTGACGTGCTACGGACTATCCACATTCAGTGGTTCAGACGACGGTCAAAGTAATGTCGTCTAAAACGAAGCTTACGAGGGTCGTCCCAGCCACCTCGAAAACTAAGGTCGCTGTATCTGCGGTCGCGACATATGTAGCCCTCCTCGATACATAGTAAGGTACGAGGGGAGTTAAATCGGTAACAGACAAAGTGTCCACAACTTGTCCGCCAATACTAGCTGTTAGCATCTCAGTGCCTTCGTTGTTGGACACCTTATATAATCGATAATGGTACTGTAAAGTGTAGGTGGTACCAGGTGCCAGATCAGCAAGTATTTGTGAAAGAGTAGACACAGGCGAGTAAAGAACTCTGTCAGTCTTGGTCAGTCGCAGGGGAATCGCTTCTTGATGCGGAATAATCCATTCGCGTATCGATGACTTACGTGAACCAGGTTCCGTCGAAGCTTTCATGATAATTGGCTTGGCTCTCTTGGGTATAGGTCAGGCGGCCATTGACCCATGGCGATAACTGGCCAGAGCTACCAGGGATGCCACCGATCTCAAAAGACGGGTTGACAACTACCTGAGTGGGCAAGGGAGGCGAGTAGAAAGTTGAAGTGAATGTAGTCAAAGATTGCTCTCTGGTCGACGATACAACTGTGACCACCGAGACGGCGGTGGTTGTGGTATTCATATGGGATGTCTGAGTAGCCGTAGTTGTGGTTGTAGTAAGAATGACAACAGCCCCTGGAGAGGTAGCTGCCTTGCTGCAAGCTGAATCCAAGCTGCTGTCAGAGTACCCTCCTAACAACGTTGGGATACTGACAACGGCTCTCTTGGTCACTACCAGCACAGACGTGCGACTGGCTCTTGTGAACGTTGTGTACTCGGTGATTGTGGATACACCAGTCTCTGCGGAGATACTTGTATATGCAGAAGCACTGACTTCTGTTGCGACATCTGTCTGGATTGTGGTTTCCAGATCAGTCTGAGTTGTTGGGAATCCTCCCATAAATACAATCACAAGCATGGAGAACGGCTTTGACGCTCTGATCGGGAAATGGGATGTAGTTCTTGGGCTTTGGGAAACGGCATTGGTCAAGACCGCGAACAAAAACAAGTTTTGACATACTAGGCGTTGGAGAAACTGCAAAACGTGGAGGGAAAGAAGTATTCTTTGGTGATAACGTTGGCAGATCTGGCCGGGCATTGAGAGCTGACAGCAGCTGCACTTACAGACGCCTTTCTTATAGCAGCTTCCGCTATGGCTCGATCCTTTGCGCTCGCACAATTCCTGATGCGTTTGCAAGCATTGGTCAAGGTGTCAGGGCTAAGCCCGAGTAAAGGTGATCTTGTCCTAACACTGCTTTGACATTAGCGATCCAGCTGCGCATTATTTCCTCGATATGGTCATGACATACTCTTCAAGATACCAGGTACAAAAGTAAAGAGGATGTGTTACCTACCCCTTGACAAGTACACCATTCAGAGTAGTCGCCGAGCACTCTGAAGGTCGTGGCACCCCGACTGCGGACTGAACGATGATAAATCACGAGTATAGAGCCAGGAAAGACCGGAGGGCGGCCATGTTTGGTGCGATCCACGTAAATAGTTGACAGGACGATGCAGGCGCCTATTCATGAGGCACCAAGCGCTTTATGCATCTATTTGCCCCGGAATCTGGAGCGCATATATCCTGCTCGAATTCGTACATCGTTTTTAAGCTGACTATAGATCGAGATGAGACATCATGATTTCAGCTCCTCCGAAGTCGTCTGGCCTCTATGTAAGGCTCTGTCTTAAACACTTTTCAGCGAAGAGGAGTGCAACGGTGTGATAGCAGGCCTTTAGCACATAGCCTGCACGAATTGTGACGCATCGAGCTGGCGTCTGATGTGTGACTAGGACGAGGAGTTGCCACACCTAGACGGCACGCTTACCGTATACTGGCGATCCTCAGGATCCCGTCCCAGAATTCACCTCAGACGTGACGACTGACACTGTAGGCTGGACCACAAATGTGTCAATTTCATTCTGGACACCTCAGGTCAATGTCTGACCATCTGTCGATCTTGGGCAGGCTGACTCTTGCTTTGACCCAAGTGCGTTGTCGACAGCAAATTTCAGTGCGACTGGAACTGCTCAAGAGGATGTGGTCCTAACAACTTCATCAGACTGGCTCACACAGCAATGGAATACTACATTGCCATCTCCACCAGCTCAGATGCTAATCACCGATATTCCGACGCCATCTGCGCCTCCACTTCCCAATTCCGCAGTGACCGTTGGGTCTGAATTTAGTGTCATGCCTACCCCTCTTTGGATGTCGCTGAGATGATCCAGATTTTGCGCACATATCCCACGTGTTTTTCTTCTGACGACTACCACACCCCACTTCTTCATCGCGGATTGTATGGCCTCCAGCGGGTACTATAACTCAATTGCCAAAGTCGACTACAGCAATCATGTGCGCTTTGGGTCTCAACGCAAGCAGCAAGAAGTTTTTCCCACAACGCGCCATGACTGCGGAGCGTCAACGTCTTATCGAAGAATTTGTGAGTACTCCTAGGTTTCAAGAGGTATCGTTTGATGACATGTGTAATTAGCCGAAGACATCCTGCATCGAGGAACGGGACAGCATACGTGCCATGTGGCTGTACGAGATGATGGAGCTATCCGACGCCGAGGAAGATGTGAATAATCATTGGAGACCTCTTCTCCGGGCGAAGGGATTGAATCTGCCTATTCTACTCAAAGTGAGCCCGGCCTCCATGAAAGTGACATCCCCTACAATGTCCTGATATTGAACAGATGACTCGTCGGTTCTGTCAGTCACACCCTGAAGCGACAGATTCATCAGCTGCAATGACTACCGACGCAGTGATGCGATACGCCCCAGCAACCTCAGCCTGGTTGACTTGATCCGTTGCGGAAACATCCCGGAGAATGATCTTTCTTGCACACATCGTCAATCACTTTGCGACAAGAGACGCGAAGACAGGCGAACGCGACCCATACTATGAGCCACTCAACGACGAGATGATCTGGAATATGCCTCTTCCGTGCCCTGCAGCCGTCTGGGACGCACAAACAGAACAAGAATGGCTTAGCGTGCTTCGAAAACAAAATGGAGACTTCATCACCGATGGACAGTCTGTGTCGCTCTTACAAGTGTTCGCACATGAGCCAACCATCAAATCATTGATGGCAAGCTTCCCAAAAGATCACATCAAGTCGCAGTTCGCTGGTGACATGGGATTCCAGAATACGGAGTCTTTCCGAAATCTTGTTGTGCATTGCGCCTTGGAACAGCTGGTTTGACGGATCAAAACCCTGGAGGCCTACATTGAGTAGGAGAGCACATGTCCAAGCTGATAAGATCCATGATTGCGACCCTGTCTAGCTTAGACTTTTCATGACGCCTCGCATCGGTCGTCCGAAGGCTTGTTGTCAAGACAAAAGCCCAATTCATCGACTCACAAGCTATAAACTGGTGAAGAGTCAACGGACGTTGAGGGCGCTTACGACGAACACATCCCCAATTGCCCCTGAGCGGAGATTAGCGATGGCGACATGCTGAACCAATCGCTCCGGCGATCTTTCTTAGCAATATGATGTTTGTGCTGTAGATCAGTGCGATGTGAAGGGTCGACGCCGGAGCCAATTGGTCGGGGTCCACATCAAGCACGCGAGCACTCCAGTGGAGGGAGAACAAAGGGTACATGCGTCCGGAGTTGCAACGCCCACAACATCCAACTCCGATATACCCATGAGGCCGGCGTAGAGTTATAAATGGAATGAGTCTCCGCAGTCTCGAAATACAGTCTCTGTCATTCGACTCATTACCATCGATTGGTCGGTATTGACCCATGATCATTGTCTCGCGCCTTCCACATTTTGCAAGCGTTGCAAAGCTGACTTCGGTGAGTACATCTCCGCGCACGCATTTTGGAAGCAGAATTCATCACGACGCTTCTGTTGTTGGTGCAATGTCTCTGACCTTGCATATAGCTAGTCGTCATACCTTCCGTGCGAGCATGTAGCACCACTTCGGTGATCATGTCGCCACTTCTCACGTCTCGGCTATGTGAGGTCTCTGCTTTCCATGACTTCAAAATTGGCCAGGCAATTTCACCTTTCGTCACCGGTCATGATGGCCCAACCATGATCAAGGGAAGACTCTGGTCACTCCCGACGGGAGTCTACACAGCTCGTCAAGTTGTCGAGAGCTGCGCACCCCTGCTCGAGACCGTGCTGCATAATCTCGGTCCTGATCCTGAGGGCCAGCCGACCGCTCGTCACATGCTTATAGACAATCTCGCCTCTAACTTGGCTCTTGGGACTCGCGAATCGAGTCTGGTGATCCCTCTCAAGGATGCCAGTCGTAAGGAGTTTGCAGCTCAGGCCGTCAAGATTGGTGAAGCCCTCGTCTCCGTTGCTCGTGAGACAGAGAACGTCTCATTCGATCCAAAGTACGCTATTCGCAGCCCGTGCGAAGGACATCTCCTCAAACCCGAGGTCGCTTACCTCATGTTCGGACCTCGGAGCTTGGCCCATCTTATGCAGATCCACAACGAATATCCTCATCAGATGATCTTGCTGCGTGATGCACTCTTGCCCTTCGAGAACTTCGACGACGTTGTAATACCTATCCAAGCTGACACTGCCAAAGGGCGACTGGGGATGAGATTTACCGAAACGTCAAGAATGGTCTTCATCGCCGAGCTCATGACCAAGCAGACGACTCAAGCTTCAGTTGTGAACTTTGCACAGTCTGTCTTGTGCACGGAAAATAGCTACGAGTTCCAGTACAGATATGGACTGATCCTTCCTGCACCTGTCGTTGAAAGCTCGTCAGAGGCCACATTCGAGTACAAGTTCAAGGATTACTACTCTGCGCCTCCCTTTGAAGTCGCAGCGGCCGAGCAAACTCTCGACAAAGGTCAAGTTCCTGTATCCATCATCGACGACCAGGAACATGGACTCGAGCGTTACTCCTTGTCGTTGGTTCCTGGCTCGCATGATTCTTCTCACCAGCTGCGTTTGCTTCTGGAATACAAGGACGGACATACCTCGGCGACGGATGTCGGTCAGATGTCGCGTGGTCATCGCTTCTCCTACCAAGTCTCTGCCATGATGAACGAGGCCGCAGTGATGTCTTTCGGTTCCCCGGCCTACGTACACACCGCAAAGGAGGTGCTTACCAAGTGTGGAGGAGACGACCTTGTCACGGCCCCAGACGGCGGCATCCATCTGATTCAGGCCACGAGTCAGGCCGAGATACTTGCTTTGCTGGGTACAATATATCCGACAACATCATTGTACTCAAAGCAGGTGCTTCCTTGAAGGACGCGGAGGAGGCAGGCCAGGCTTTACCTTGTGAACCACACTTTGTTCTGCAATTGCTTAAGGATTCATACACTATTAAGCAGTAAAGTTCATATTCAAACGAGATAGCTTGATCCATATCTTTGTCGCAAATGTTCTTCTACACGCACTGCCTCATACAAAGGTATCTCACCATCAGCCAAACATGTCGGGATACACTCGATGGTTTGATCCAAGAGGCCCTCATTGAAGAATGCCACGCTATAGCGATACTTGTCGCTGATTGGTGATGTGACTCGGTGAAGAGATGAAGTATAATGGTTGTTCGTCCATCGCTCTGTCAAGGAGTCAGCAAGACTGAATAGCTATAGAGGTTATCGCCGACCTAGCATGTCTCCGACATTGACGACAAATGCGTCTTTGACGACCTTGACTGGATGCCATGTCTCTGTCTTGCGATGGAAGACCTCCAAGCCACCGACTGCGACGTATGTCAGTACTGCACTACTCGAGTTGCCACGGCTGGCTCACCGTCGTCTTGCAACAGCAAAGTCAAAGCACCGAAGTCCGTGTGCGCGCCGATGCCACGAGACTTCAGCGACGCTTCAAGCGACACTGGCGGATACATGTGTGCACGACACATGGCGATTGCTGAGCTCGTCAGACGTGCAGATACAACTGGAATAAGCGCCACTTACAATCCTGTCCAGAGGCAAAGTCGTCGAAAAAAGATTCGTCCAAAGAGAGGCTCAAAGCCACAAGTCGAAACATGATCCTACTCAGATCGCGCATCTTATGGAAGTACTCCATGAACGTGCCCTCCAGGCCATCGCCCTGACCTTTCGCAGGCCATTGATTTGGTCCCTGCAAAAATCTGGCGTTCTTGCTTTCAACTTCTGCGCCAACCATAAAGCCTTCTTTCACATCCGCATACCCGGGTTCAAGCTGTTGTTCACCAAGAGTCTCGAAGCCACGAAGGGCTTTGGAGTTGTTGCGATGCAGTGCATTCTTTTGGTCTGCTGGGAGTGCAAAAAAGGCAACGACGCGGTCCAGAAGCGTTTCGCGCAGATCTGCTGGGATATCGTGACCGACTATCTGGAAGAACCCTGGAGCCTGCGCTGCTGCGTTCAGTTGCAATGCAATGGTTTTGGTAGCTTTGATGTCGCCTGCCAGATATCCGGAGATATCGATGACTGGTATGTCGAGAGCTGGCAACGGAGAAGAGGGTTCATCGATCGCCATGACGATGGTGCTTTGATTGACTGTCGTATTATACAAACTTAGGAGCATTCACATATGCTGCGTTGACAAAGACAAGACTGTGATCGGCTTGTCTGACCCCGCGGACTCGAGGTCAAAAGTGTAGATAGGATAAACAAAGTCTAAATTGGCGTCTGCGGGAGTTGGCAAGTGCGGGGCTACAAGATAAGCGGTATCCTTCGCACCTTTGTCGCACCTCCAGCCACTATCTCTTTCGAAGTGTAAGAGGCGGCCGTGATTGGTGCACGCATACTCATATTCAGGGCGTGGCGTGTGACTGCTGAGGGTATCTTTGGGATTCTGATACCCACATCCCAAGAGGTGTCCTTATCTCCAAACTCTAACACACCTGTCTTGATAGGCTGGACCGCTTCTGTTCACAGACGCCGACTACAAAATACTACAAGATGTGATTGCCACATCAGTTCCACATTGACTTCACCTACAGGCCCAAGCGAAGCCATGTCACAGCTTGCAGCGATGAAGAAAAGGCTCTCGGGCAAGGCCAGTCTCTCTGGATGGATCTTGCCCAAGATGGAGTCTAGCTGGGCACCTCCCGGTGTCAGAACAAACATTGACATGGATCCCACTCCTCTGTCGCGCCGCACGTGGACCTACTGGACAAACCTTGGTTACTGGATCAGCGATGTGATCAGTATCCAGAGTTGGACTACAGGAAGTACTATCCTGGCCGTAGGATTGACATGGTGAGACTATGACCCAGGTATTATTAGTTGACCTACAGCTGATTGTTCTTAGGAAGGAGGCAGTCTTTTCCATCATCGTCGGATCGACCATCATGGCCATACCTATGACGTTGAACGGCTATACTGGAGCCAAGTGTCATGTACCGTTCCCCGTACTTGCGCGCGCATCCTTCGGCTACCAGTTCGCGAAGTTCCCAGTGATACTGAGACTCATCACTGCCATGTTCTGGCATGGAATCACAAACTACCTCGCCGTCGGTCCAATGACACAGGTGATCAGAGCCATCTGGCCCTCATTTCGCACGATGATCAATCACCTGCCGGCATCTGCTGGCGTGACAAGTCAGGCTTTGATCGCTTATTCTGTCCTCTGGATGATTCAATTCCCACTTTTGCTTATACCTGTTCACAAGATGAAGTGGTTGTTCATGACCAAGACCATCATGATGACCATGACGGTGGTAGGCATGCTGATCTGGATCTGTGTCAAAGTCAAAGGTAGTGGAGACGTCTGGAATCAACGTGCGGAAGTCTCGGGCTCACAAAAGGCGTGGCTGACGATGTGGGCGCTCAACAGCTGTACCGCGAGTTGGTATGATTGCTGCCTGTCTCATGTTGCAGAGCCATGCTGACTACCCCTGAAGGTCCACAGTGGGCGTCAACATCCCGGACTTTACCAGATACATGAATAAACCGCGAGATATTCTCTATCAGGGTCTCTGGTTCCCTCTAGTATGCAGCTGGATAGCCATCATTGGCATTGTCGTAACATCAGCATCCAAGACAATCTACGGAGAATATTTGTGGAGCCCCGTCTCAATCATTGATATGTGGGATGGCCCTGGAGGACGAGCTGCAGCATTTTTCTGTGGCGTCAGCTGGTTGTTGGCACAGATGTGCGTCAACATCTCGGCCACTGTGGTCAGCGGTGCCAACGACATGGTGAACTTGTGGCCCAAGTGGATCAACATCAAGAGGGGCACAATCTTTATCACTGTCGTCGGCAGTTGGGCTATAGTGCCGTGGAAGATTCTAACTTCGGCGAGCTCATTGTTGAACTCCATGAGCTCCTTAGGCATCTTTCTGGCGCCATGCATGGTTAGTTGACAAGTCTCTGGAGTACTAGGTGCCAATACTGACAACATGCGATTCAGGGCATCTTGTGCTCGGATTTCTTCCTCGTCAAGCGTCAGATGCTCGACGTTCCTGCGCTTTATGATCCCCAGGGCCGGTATGCTCACAGCTACGGTACTAATTCGCGAGCCATCGTGGCACTCGTAGCTGCCCTTGGACCAACGCTTCCGGGTCTGATCCATGCAGTCAATCCCAAGATCGACATTGGCGGTGCTGAATATGTCGCTGACTTCAAGTGGTACTATGGCATAGTCATATCATCCGTGGTATATTCGGCATTGAGTTTGATGCTGCCTGTAGAGGAGACTCTTATTCCATACATGGTGACAGGGGTCATTGAAGGCATTGACGCGGGAGAGATCGCTAGCCTCGAGAAGTCTGCAAAAGAGAAGGAACTTGCTGTTATCACCGCACGCAGTCAAGATTGAATCTAGCAGTCTAACGACCTGCAAGAATAGGACCCTTTGGTTGTGGCTCTTCCTTGTCATGCTGAGGTAAACCTTTGTCACGGCGTCACTTTTTTCGTACGAACACTTATTGCTTTGCTCATATGTATGTACCACGCTCACTGACTTGATGGACGCCTGACGCGAAATCGTGATGGCTCTGCAATCACCCTTGTTCCTATTTCATGTCTGCTCGCAGCCAGATTCACGTCTCCATATGCGCGCACTGAAACTCATTCCCCCATACCTGTATTGCTAGCATCCAGGAACAGTAATTTTACTTTACTGAACACCGATACAAGGCTTTCTCGAGCTCAAGGAGACATTGTGTGACTGTTGCGTCTCCCGGAGGCAGCACCTGCGTGGCTAGCATTGCCCCGATCCCGCTTGCTCGGTCCATCCACTACGTTACATCAGCCAATTACTTTGCACCTGGTGACGGCAATGCTTTGAACTTACAATGTGTAGTCCGGGCATCCCCGACCAATTACAAGACCTCGCCGCCCGGCGTTCAGGGAAGTCTTCCAAACAGATTGAGGAACTCAGGCCAAACGTGCCTTCGACGTCATCCGGCCATGTCTGTCCAAGATGCTTCTTTCCAGCTCCTCTAATGACATCAAGGAAGTATCTATTTGTCTCGAGTTGAGGGCTCATCAACTCGTCCACGGATTGGCTTGAGATGATGACACCTCCTCCGGCCATCAGTGCTGCGATGAACTTGGCGCAGTCTTCAGTGCTGGAGTAGAGACCCGCACCACCGGAGTAGTCGACGGTTGGGTTGGCGAAGGGGACTGAGCCTTGTTGCAAGGAGTTGTCCTGAGGGCTTCTTATCGCCATCGATACACGCCTTGCTGCAAAATCTGGACGCAATTCGGGGCGGAATGTTGTGGAAGTCATTCCAAGCTTAGTCCAGATGTTCTCGCGCATGAAATCCTCGAGAGATAGTCCACTCACAATCTCGACCTGAATGAACGTTAATTCTAGAGGAACAGGAATAGCGACTTGACTGCAACAAACCATTCGTCCTGCCCAGTCCATACCTGTGCCGTAAGCCCAACCTTTTCCTGCAGGATAGATAGTTGGAGCGAATAAACCATTCTAGATGTGTTAGTTACAGTCGCACATCTGACGAAACTCGAACCCACATAAGAACCAGAGAAAGGGTGATCAGTTTTTCCAATGTATTGCGCCCATTCTCTCAGACCAGGATGATGCTGGGAATATACGAGACCGCTTGAATGACTCAAGAGCTGTCTAGTGAATCTTAGCACTGCACAGACTCAGATCCATGAAGGGAGATATCACCTGAGAGTTATGGGACCAGAAACCTTCTCAAGTATTGGAACGCGATTACCAACACCAACATCCCCGAAGCCGGTGAGATGTTGCAAGTCCGAGAATTGTGGAATGACATCTAGGGCATTAGTATCGAGTGTCATGAGTCCCTTCTCTACAGCAATCAGGCAGCTCACGGCTGTGAACAGCTTCGAAATCGATGCGATCCACATGGTAGAATCCAGCCCAAATGGCTCGCCCCCACTTGAATCAAAGGTTCGAACTCCGGCCGATCCTGAGTAGATGGTGTTGCCTAAGAGACTTTCGGATCAGCAGTTTGCTCAGCTTCCATCAACTCATACCCGAGAGCCATGCCTTTCTGATTCACGGCGACAAAGGCAGCGCCTTTCAAGCTGTCTGTACCATCTCGTGTATACTTCGCAAGTATATCGTCAAGGATGCCTTGCAACTTCGATGACTTGAACGTCCTTTGAGGCTCAATTGATGCAATCATTATGTGGAGTCGCGCGTACCTGACCGTTTAGGAAAGTCCTACTTGTTGACCAGATGTAGGCCTTGTATAATTATAGTCTGCTCTGCAATCACGAAAGAAGCGGGATGCGTGGGTCTCGGCGTCCGAAAGCCAGCGTTGACAATCCCGATGGCCGAGTCCCACCAAAGTCGCCTGATAGCCGATGATCATCGATGAGGGCCGAACACGATAGACCGGTACTTCCGCTTGACACTTTACCTTGCAGAATGAGAATGACGGCCTTGAGCATAATTAAGAACGTTCGGTCGCCTCCCCAAGACAAGAGTGTTTAGCCAGATCACACAGCTCCCGAAGCCATCATCTTTTTCTCCGCATCATCCACTATGTCTACTCCAACACACGTCCTCATCATCGGTGCTGGCGTTGGAGGGCTTGCTTTGGCACAAGGGCTCCAAAAGTCAGGCATTCCATATACTGTCTTCGAGCGCGATCCGGGATCGAACTACCGCGCACAAGGCTACAGACTCAAGATCAATGGCGATGGCGCAAACGCTCTGAAGGCTGTTCTGACCAACGATGACTTCCAATACTTCCAGGACACTTGTGCCGAATCGTTCCCTGGAGAAACCAACATCAATGCTTTGGACGGCAGTATCCTTGCGAGTCGAGCTGGCGCTGGCAGCAGACCTGGTCCGGTACCATACCTAGCGGACAGGACTGTGCTGCGAGACATCTTGTTGCGCGGTGTCAAAGACAAAATTGTGTTTGGCAAACAGCTCTCCCGCTACGAGGAAGTGGCAGACGGCGTTGTTGCTCATTTCACCGACGGAACATCGCAGCAGGGCTCTCTGATTGTTGGTGCTGATGGCGTTCACTCGGCAGTGCGTAAACAATATCAGCCAAACCACAGACCAATCGATACAAATGGCACATGTATCTACGGCAAAACGCCAATGACCGAGCAGTTCCTCCAGACTTTCCCAGCAAGAGCATTGAAATGGATGACTCTGATCTTGGATAGGACACCAATGACGCAGACTCTGGACATCGATGAGACCCCTGTGACTTTGCTCATGGAACCAGTACGTTTTGTCGACAACGTACATCGAGGAGAAGTCCCTGAGGATTATGTCTACTGGGTTCTGATCTCGCGATCGAATATCTTCGCAGCCGCTCGCAAGGAACTTGTAGCTTCGGGAAACGACGAATCCGCCTATAGTCTGTGTATGCACATGACACAGGAGTGGGATCCGAGCATCAAATCTCTATTCGCGCTCCAGGATCGCACCCAGGCATCGATGTTGAACATCTCGTCGGCAAAGCCTCAGATCCCCCACTGGACTGCTTCCGAACGTGTTGTCTTACTGGGAGATGCTGTTCATGTCATGTCTCCGTGTGGCGGTGTAGGAGCTGTGACAGCGCTCAAAGATGCAGCCACTCTGCTTGATGCACTTGTCAAGCAGGGCTCAGGCGTGGAAACAATTGATCCCTATGAGACCAAGATGAGGGAGTACGCTCGAAGCTCGATCGAGAGAAGCTATATGGGTGGCAAGAAGATGTTCGGACAACCCCGGTTCGACGATTGTCCTTACATCGGTTAGGGATGCTTCTGTTGCAGTCTCCAGTCATGTTGTAGTACATCTCTGAGTGTTATTTAGCCAGTAGCTTCGTCTCAAATGGAAGAAGTTTTCCCCTACAATACCTGAGTATAACCGTACCTAAGAATGCCTGACTTGGAACTGTGCCATCGCTGCTTGGCCATTTCTTACTTGTCACATGTGCGTTAGGAAGTCCATCCCCGAATAGAGTACTCAAGGGATCAATCTAAGAATTTTCATCTTTTTGTCTCAGGTCTGTTTTGGTATGTATTCATCTAGAAACGTTGTTGAAATCAGATCTTCGGCGTCATCGGCAGCCTTGTCCAGTGCAGTCGGGAAAATGGACACGCAAGACAGCTGCGTTGGTGAGCTGAGATCAGTAACAATTACCCATCTTGGAGGGCGAAATGCCATCGGGGACTTGCAATCGGGGTTGCGTGATGTCCGTTTTTCGGCGTTTGACTTCTTCCCGAGTCGCGACATATAAGACAAGTCAGTTGATCCTTCTTCGAACGTTGGAACTCTGACTTGCTCATACTATACACGACGCCTCAGCTTACAACAAGACGAGAATCGTGATGTCGTCGCCCAATGCTCTGCTCTGCTGGACTGTGACCGCTTATCGTAAGGATGGCATGACAGAGGAGGCTTACCACAAGTACTTGTCTGAAGTTCACGGTCCACTGGTTCGAGGTCTTCTAGCCAAGCACGGCTTCCAGTCTTACTCTCTGGTACGAAATCCTAGCCTGGACGAAACAGATAGCTGTCTCTGACGTGTTCATACAGGTCCACACAAACACCACGACCCGCGCCAAGATGGACCAGATCTTCGATCCACAGTTCGCGAATGTCGCTGACTACGACTGCATCATTCAAGCCACATTCAGATCTGTCGACGATTTTGTCTCAAGGCTGATCCAGAATACCTTCGTATCATTGCTCCTGATCACGAGAACTTTGCCGATACCAAGCGTTCCAGGCGAGTTGGACGAATGAATCGAAGATGAAAATCTTGCTAACTTGTCTCAGGATGACAATCGGATGGCTCGAGAACCACATCAAGGACTGCGAGGTTGTAAATTGAGTACAGAGCCCGTAGTAGTAAGACTGTTCGTAGTCTCATACTAAGCAGGAACGTTATGTTTCCAGTATTGCATCACTTAAAACACAATTTTGTATTCGTCTCAGCTTGAGAGTTTGTCGAAAATCACAAGGTGCCAACACAATTATTCATATCAGGCAAGCGCGACAGTCCCCACGACACCATCGCTTGGACTTGATCCCAGGAAACCCGACCTGGTACCGCTAGCGTACAGACCAGGCAGCACCATCCCTGATTTGCGGTATCGGTAAGTCTGTAATTGACAATTTGCTTCTCCCACATCAAGACAATCACTACAATGGGGCGAGCGAGGTGAATTCGATAGGGGATCTGCTGCGGGTCAAACCCTGGCCATTCCACGGTACATATCACTCCACATTAGATACCATGCTTGGTGTGGTCTGACTCACCAGTCCGATCGGGCTTGACGGATACCGTCTTCATTTGAGGATCCGATTAGTACAACTGCTACCTTCTCGAGCACCGTAACGTCTGACGATCCTGCAACATCTTGTGTCTGTGATTAGTTTTGTCTTGTGACTGTGACGAATGGAAGACTGGCACCAAGACCGGCCCGCAGTCCTCGCTTTACGACACAAGGGATCAGTAACGATGCGTAGCGTAGCCTGATCGCAAGGATTCCGCGCGAAGCTTACAACTATGTCTTGTTGAGCGTGGTTCTATCTACCCGTTCACCGGTGAACGCCAACTCGTGCTGTTGATATTGACAGCATGATTGGACATTGCTTCATCGAGCCCTCGGACAGGCATATGATCTGTAGCCTCCGATTTGGGTCCGCGCTCGGTCCGAGTCGCCCGAACGCCTATCTAGGTTCCGTCTCAGGCGAACAGTGCTATAGGATTTCGGTCCCCGACAGGCGACTCTCCTCGGAAGTCATCTATCGTGTCAGTCAGAACAGTTATCACGCATAATCATGTGGTGACCATGACAACCATGTACTTATACTCTGCCATCCCAAGCCATGAATCGTCCACAGACACTATCTTCACCATTCTTTTGGTTTCCCGAGCCAGTACCCCCCTCAGCCTCAGCAATGGAACACAACTTGCAGATACTCCTCTTCGGAGACCAGACTAATAGCTTCGACAAGAGTCTCCGCCGACTTCTTGAGCCCGGCAGTAGTAGTGCTGTGACGACCTTGTTGGAGAGGGTTAACTTGGCTCTTCGTCTGGAGATAGGTGGATTACCCATCTCCCAGCAACAGCGTTTCCCTCGCTTCAGCTCTGTGAGCGATCTCGAGGCGAGGTATAGATCATCTACCAGACGTGCATCTTTGGAGAGTGCTTTTCACTGCCTTAATCAGTTGGGATGGTTCATCCGGTGAGCTCACCAAGATTACCCTGACTCGTAGCGACACCCTAATCATGAAGCAGAAACCAGATCGAAACCGCCAGCAGATATCCAACCGCAGAGGACACCCGTATCGTAGGCATCTGTACTGGCCTGCTTGCCGCTGCCGCCATCAGTACATCTAAGAGCTTGGCGGAGCTTATCCCGAAAGCTGTTGAGACGGTGCTGGTCGCCTTCAGAATCGGGTTACATGCCGAGAGCATGAGTGATGCAATTGTCGGCCGTGGCAAGCCTGCCAAGTCCTGGTCACTGGTTCTGGGTATGCAGGAAGACAACGCATCGGCAGCGATGTCTTCATTCCTTCAGGCCAAGGTGCGTGTTGTCGGGACCACCCTCCCGATGAGACTAACAAGTGAGCAGAACATTTCACCAACATCGCAACCGTACATCAGTGCAGTGGCATCCAATTGTGTAACCATTAGTGGTCCACCCGCTTCGCTCGAACATCTTCTGAACTCGACTCAATTCTCCGGCCTCAAACCAGCTCATACTAGCGTCTATGCAGCATATCACGCCGATCACATCTACACCTTGAAAGACGTCGATATGATTCTTTCGAAAGATCCCTTGACTCCGGTTCGATCTTGCACCGACGCGATCCCAATTTTCTCCAATGCGACTGGCAAGATGCATTCAGCGACTGAGCACACAGCGCTTCTTCACACCATTATCTCAGAAATTCTTACTGAGCAAATCAGGTGGGATCGGATCGTGGAGGCGGTGTCCGCAGACGTTATGGCAAGCCATGCATCTGTGTGTGAGATACTATCATTTGGCGGTAACGCCACTCACAGTCTGACCTCGGGGCTCGCCCAGGACGGCGCTCCAGTAGTCGAAGCCAAAGAGGATGTGTGGAGTCAGCAGAACCCAGCCAGCTCTGGTCACGCTTCCGGAAGACGCGACCAGTCTAAGATCGCTATCATTGGCTTTTCTGGCCGTTATCCCGATGCTGCAAGTAACGAAAAGTTCTGGGAGATTCTACACAACGGCAGAGATGTTCATCGACCTATACCGGCTGACAGATTCGATGCAGCAGCGCACATGGACCCAACTGGAAAGAAAAGGAACACTAGTCGCATCGGCCATGGTTGCTTCATCGAGGAACCAGGATTGTTCGATGAGCGCTTCTTCAACATGTCGCCACGTGAAGCTGCAAATTGCGACCCCGGTCAACGCCTAGCTATCGTCACCGCGTACGAGGCTCAGGAAATGGCAGGTTTTGTGACTGGCAGGACACCTTCTACGCAGAAAGATAGAGTGGGAATCTTCTATGGCATGACATCCGACGACTGGCGTGAAGTCAACAGTGGGCAGAACATCGACACGTACTTCATCCCTGGTGGAAATCGAGCCTTCACCCCTGGTCGGCTCAATTACTTCTTCAAGTTTAGTGGACCCAGCTTCAGTGTTGACACAGCCTGTTCTTCCTCCTTCGCCGCCATCCACGCTGCTTGTAACTCGCTCTGGCAAGGTGATTGCGACACGGCCTTCGCTGGTGGCACCAACGTTATGACCAACCCGGACAACTTCGCGGGACTGGATAGAGGACATTTCCTGTCCACGAAGGGAAACTGCAACACTTTCGACGATGACGCCGATGGCTACTGCAGAGCAGACGGTGTCGGCACAGTCATTCTCAAAAGACTTGAGGACGCTGAGGCTGATGGCGATCCGATCCAAGGCGTTCTCCTAGGAGCGTTCACAAACCACTCTGCAGACGCTGTTTCCATGACACGACCTGATGCAGGCGCACAAGCATTTATCTTTGACCAGATGTTGAACTCATGTAACGTTAGCCCTCAAGACGTCAGCTACATTGAGATGCACGGTACTGGTACCCAAGCAGGAGACTGGACAGAGATGCGAAGTGTGCTGCAGGTATTTGCACCCGCTGTAGGCAAACGGCCGAATCGACCGCTCTACCTCGGTTCGACCAAATCCAATATAGGTCATGCAGAGTCATCCTCTGGCGTTCTGTCTCTGATTAAAGTGCTTCTAATGATGAGGCATAACGAGATCCCGCCTCACTGTGGTATCAAGACGAAGATCAATCAGAAATTCCCCACTGATCTGGCAGAACGCAATGTTCATATTGCAACAAAGCCTACTGAATGGGATCGTCCCGGCAATGACGTCCGCAGAGTCTTCCTGAACAACTTCAGTGCGGCAGGTGGCAACACAGCCCTTCTTCTCGAAGACTCTCCTATTCGGGCTGGGCAGGATCTGGCTGAAGACCCCCGCAGCATCCATGTCGTCACGGTCTCTGGCAAATCACCTACCGCCCTCGTGAAAAACACACGCGCTCTGTTGGAGTTCATCGCGAAGTCGCCTGTATTAAGCTTGCCTTCCCTTTCCTACACAACCACAGCTCGTCGCGTTCATCACAGCTACCGTACAGTCGTCTGTGGAGCCGATCTGAAGTCGATCTCCAGTAAGCTCGCCGACGTGTTGGCTGGAGAGGCTCCCAAAGCCATCCCCGCCAAAGCTGGAAAAGTGGCGTTCGTCTTCACCGGGCAAGGTGTCCTGCAACTTGAGATGGGTAAGCGTCTTTTCGAGACAATCTCGCAATTCCGATCCGACATCATCAACTTCGATCAGATCGCTCAGCGTCAAGGGTTCCCTAGCTTCCGCGGGCTGATCGACGGAAGCCTTCGGGACCAAGCAGCCATCAGTCCCGTAGTTGCTCAACTTGGTACCACATGCCTTCAGATAGCGCTGTTCAGACTCTGGATGTCTTGGGGTATCCAACCCGATGTGGTGGTCGGCCACAGCCTTGGCGAGTACGCGGCCTTCCACGCCGCTGGAATCTTGTCTGTGACAGACACTATCTATCTGACTGGCGCTAGGGCGCAATTGATGATCAAACGCTGCACTGTTGGGACTCATTGTATGCTCGCAGTGGCGACGTCCATCGAGGAGCTTGAGCGCAAGTGGCCGTCGATGTCCTACGAAGTTGCTTGTGTCAACGGTCCTACCGAAGTCGTTCTCAGTGGTACGAACGACAACATCGATCGCCTCGCTGCTAGCTTAGCTGAGGGCCAGATCAAGTTCACCAAGCTGGCCGTCCCATTCGCGTTCCATTCCTCCCAAGTTGATCCCATCCTTGACGACTTCGAGAATCTCGCTCGCAGTGTCGAGTTCAACAAGCCTAAGATTCCCTACATGTCTCCTCTCTTGAGGAGTGTAGTGGTTGATGCCAATGTCCTCGAAGCGCAATATTTGCAAAAGGCTTGTCGGGGAACAGTCGACTTTCTGAGTGCAGTCAACGCGGCGAAGAGCTCGGGCGTCATTACCGACAAGACTGCGTGGGTCGAGGTCGGATCGCATTCCATCTGTAGCGGTATGCTGAAGCAAATCTGCGGTACCACCGTTGCAGCACTCCCTTCCATGAGGCGCGGAGAAGATTGTTTGACCACTCTCGCCCTGTCTGTTGCTAAACTCCATTCCTTTGGATCAGCCATTGACTGGAATCAATATCACCATGACTTCAGAAGGTCGCAGACTGTCGTACAACTTCCGACATACTGCTGGGACGCGAAGAATCACTGGATCCAGTACAAGAATAACTTCTGTCTCACCAAGGGCGAGTCTGTGTCTAAGAAGGCGCCAGTCAGCGCGTTGCCGCCTGGCATCTTGACTCCTTCAGTGCAGCACATCATTGAGCAAAAGCTCGATGGCCAGAAACCGATGGTGATCATGCAATCTGACCTTGCTGAACCGAAACTCGCCAAGGTGATTCAGAGCCACAAGGTGAACAGCGTTGCCCTATGTCCATCTGTAAGTGTATTGACTCTTCGATTCACCCACACCCGCTAACATCACCAAGTCTCTCTATGCGGACATAGCTCTGACCCTTGGAAACCATCTACTCGAAAAAGCATCCTCTTCGCCAGGCAAATGTGGTCTTGATGTTGCCGACATGGTAGTCAGTAAGCCCCTGATCGCGACAGGCAACTCGCAGTTCTTCCGTGCCTCTGCTACTGCAGATTGGTCTTCGCGTACGATTCATGTGTCACTCTTCAGTGTTTCTCCCGAGGGACAAAAGACCGACGATCACGCTCATTGTACAGTCAAGTTGGGTGACCACGAGGCGTGGCTCAAGGAGTGGAGTCGTTTGACTTATCTGATTAGGTCTCGTATTGACACGCTACAGAGTGGAGTGACTGACGGAAGAACGCACCTGATAAAGAGAAGAATGGCCTACAAGCTCTTCTCATCAGTCGTCGAGTACGATACCAAGTATCAAGGTATGCAGGAGGTACTGCTTGACAGCGAGCATCTCGAAGCATCCGCAAAGGTCAAGTTTCAAACCACTGCAGACGATGGTAAATTCTGCTTCAGTCCTTTCTGGATTGATTCACTCGGACATCTCGCTGGTTTTGTTATGAATGGCAACGACTTTGTGGACTCGAAGGTTCAGGTCTTTGTCAATCACGGCTGGGACTCGATGAGATGTGCTCAAGAATTTTGTCCGGACAAGCAATACCGGACGTACGTGAAAATGCAGAATATTGGAGGCACCATGCACTCTGGCGACGTCTACATCTTCGATGAGGACGTTGTAGTCGGCGTCTATCAAGGCGTCAAAGTAAGTCTTGGGGAACATGTTCTGCTTGTTGCGGGCAAGAGCTAACACAGCATAGTTCCAAGGAGTACCCCGCAAGATTCTCGATATGCTTCTTCCAGCAGAGAAGTCTACGAAGACTGCGAGAGCACCGTCGATCAAGATGTCGCCCGTTGTCAGAGCTGAAACTCAGAAGGAAACACCTGTGGCAAGGGACGACGCTCCCAAGCCAGCGGTTGAGTCATCAGTGGAGACTGCTTTGCTCGCAATCATCTCCGCAGAAACTGGTGTTGCTGTTGGTGATTTATTACCTGACACGGTCTTCGATGACATCGGGCTGGACTCGCTACTCGCTCTCAACATCACAGGCAGGCTGCGAGAGGAACTCGATCTGACAGTTGAGAGCTCTTTGTTCACAGAATGCCCCACTGTCAAGGAGTTGACCCGGTACTTCTCAGGAGCAGTCTCTGATGTTTCTTCGATCGACTCAGAATCTGAGTCCGGTTCTTCTGCACTATCCACGCCGCCTGCACAAGCCGCGACTAGCAGTACGAGCGTCTCGACTTCGCCACCTTCGTATTTAGACGGTCAATCGAACAGCTTGATGGTATTGATTCGCAAGACCCTTGCGCAGGAGATAGGCGTCAATGAGGCTGAGATCGAGGGCTCCACAATCTTAAGCGATCTGGGCCTGGACTCACTCCTCTCATTAACTGTACTGGGCCAGTTGAGAGAGGAGACCGATGTTAATTTACCATCAGACCTTTTTGCGATATGTCAGTCACTTGACGAGGTCCAGATCAAAGTGGGTCTAGCTCCTGTCAAGGATCTCTCTACACCTATCAATGCCGAGAAGGTGTCTGAAAAGCTGCGATTGACAGCGACGCAGAACTCCCGTATCGTTCAGCACGCAGCCGTACTACCTCCTGCAACCTCTGTACTGCTCCAGGGTAGCCCAAAGACGAGTAGCAAGCGTCTCTTCCTATTCCCTGATGGAAGTGGTTCGTCTACATCTTATGTCTCTCTAGCCAGGATTGACCCCGATGTCGCTGTCTTTGGCCTGAACTGCCCTTACATGCGGAAGCCAGAGGACATGAAATGCAGCCTTGCTGACTTGACCGCTCCTTACCTGGCAGAGATCCGCCGTCGCCAGCCTCACGGTCCTTACTACCTAGGCGGCTGGTCTGCCGATGGTATTTGTGCTTACGACGCTGTCCAAGAACTCGCAAAGTCTGGAGAGGAAGTCGCGCGTCTGATCCTACTTGACTCTCCTTTCCCCATCGGTCTCGAGAAGCTTCCTCCTCGTCTCTACGACTTCTTCAACACTTGCGGGCTCTTTGTCAACGGCAGCGGCAAGGCTCCTCCGAGCTGGCTTCTGCCTCACTTCCTGGCCTTCATCGACTGTCTGGACACTTACAGAGCAGTCCCGTTGAAGTCAAGCAGACCGAAGGTTTTCCTTATCTGGGCTGAAGATGGAGTGTGCAACAAACCAGACAGCCCTCGACCTGAATCAAGAGCCGACGATCCGAAAGAGATGAGGTGGCTGTTGGAAAACAGAACAGATCTCGGACCTAATGGCTGGGACTCGCTTGTTGGTGGCGAGAGATTGACGATTCACACCATGGAGGACGCAAATCATTTCACAATGATGGAGGGCCAAAAGGCAGTCGAGTTGAGCGAATTCCTCGCTCTTGCAATGGCAAATTAGTGGGTCTTGGATCTGAGCCGGATGGCGCGTTCACAGGTTTTCCTTACTTAATTACATCTTTGTTCCTGAAATTTTGAGTTATATAGTTCCATCATCGAAAATTTCTACTTTTTTCCAAGCTATGGAGGACTCCATACCGAAAAAGGTCTTAGCCACTTACGTCCATTGATATTGCTTTGTTTCTGACGGCTTACTACGTTCACGACATGTCCTCGTTCCATGGCAGGATCGTGAACAGGCAACGAAACACGCGAGCGTGAATGACGCCACTGTCTACTACCAATACTCTAACTCCTAGATAGCCTTTCGTATCCTTGACTAGAACACTATAACAACAAAAAAAAGGCACGTTTGGAGCATCAACTGCAAATAGTATATTGAAGATTCTATATCGATCGTTCGCAAATCATCTTTTCCAGCATGCGTCATGCAAGTGAAGTCAGTACTAGCCTTAGACCAGAAGATTACTGGCCAGACGCACGCGGATTGCGAAAATGACTTCCTCACGTATTTTAAAACTCCCCGACGGAGACAAAAACATCGGGCTCCAATTCGGGGCTTTTGGACTAGTCAAAATCTCGGGGAGGGAATGGCAGTCCCGCAGAGCTCGGCCCTGAATCCCACTCGCATCGGCATCTGAGTTTGGAAAAATCGAAACACTAACATGTTCAAACTATCATGATCTGTGTTTGGAACTGGATGATATCGGTGCTTATGCATGTCGGGTATGGTGAAGTCTGCGTCAAAGACCAAACAGGGACGAATCGAATAGAACACGGACAGTCCAACTCAAGACACTCGCTTGGGTGCGACGCATCCTCACTATGGTAATCGCTGTTAGACGGTGAAGGTAATGGAAGACTCCGTAGTGATTGGTTTGAATCAGATCATCGACTAGTCATGATCAAGCGGCTATCATCAAGTTCGTGCCATGTTGCCTTTACATCTTGGACTTGAACAACTCATCTATCCACTCTGTGATGAAAGGCCGAGCGTGAGGTTCCCCCATGTGCTTGATGCCAGCGAAGAAGCTATGCTCAAATCAGCCCGACGCATCTTGTGCTTCTTAAAGATGACTTACCGAGCTTCTTTTGCACTACCATGCTGAAGCATGAGCTGGCTGTCCTCGATTGGGAAGAGTTCGTCAAGCATACCCTGCGTTGATCAGCCTACGCTCGATTCCAGGATGGCTGCTTGACTCACATTGACCAGAAGGAGCCTGCAGGATGGCTTATCCATGATACCGTTCACAAGCAGAGAAAATCTTTCCATGGAATCACGCTTCATGTCTTCGACATTGGCATACCCAAACTTCAAAGCCAGTACCTGCGTCAGACTGATGCATAGATTAGCGCACGCTTGAATGTTGAGTCTTGTCAGTACCTACTCGAATGGATACTCCATGTGCGACGCCACATTGAGCCATTCAGGGTCATACATAAGATGACAGCCACCTCCTTGGGCAACTACAGCGGTAAGACGCTCTTTGTGTGTATGAGCGATGCGCATAGCATAGTACCCACCGCAGCTGACACCCCAAGGGACGAACTTGTCTCTCTGAATCCAGTCCTGTTGATCAGCCCAATCGAGAACACTGTCCCACAAACGATCAGGGCTCGTAGGGTCGTTGGGATCAGCGGGACAGTCTCCAGTACCAGGAATCTCAACCCCGATAGATGCCCAGCCTCGTGAGATGTGATTGCTGGAAGAGCCCGTGTGTTCGGTTCTGTAACCGTCCAGGCCGTAGATTGTCATCACTGTCGGGAAACGACGACCAGGCTCTGAGCTAGGGAGACGGACAGAGACAGGAATGACGCTGCCCTCCTCAGAGGTGCCAGGCTTCCCGTGGACATGAGGGATCAAAACTTCTGTGATAGGCTGATCGAGGTATCTTTTCGGTAACTCTTAGTCAACATGTCGGAGGCAAACGTTGACGTGTTTGACTTACTTTGCGCCCTTGTAGTACGTCTCCTTCTGACGTGCCCAAGCGATGTTCTGCAGTGACGACTGAGGACAAGGTTGGCGTGCTGTTCTGTAGACACAAGCTGCGCGTAGGTACAGGGCCGAGGCTGATTTGAGGTCACCTGAAGCCTCTGCTTCATCTGCGCGCTTTATAAGGTCTTCTGCCACAGGGAAGAATGGTTTTGCATATTCTTCAAAGTTGTATGGAGGCGTCAAATTGTGCTAGAGGTCGATTAGCTACGTCCGGGTGCTACCTGGAAGTTTTCACCTTGTAGAAGTGGTTGAAGACTCTGGTGAAGTCTTCAAGCTTTCCTTCCATGAATGGGTAGATCTCCAGTGTGGCCTTTTATCATTGATATGAGTATCTTGAATTGGCAGTGGGATGAAGTTGTGTACCTTCTTCTTCCATTTGAGCTCCCAAAGGTCTTTGATCGAATTGTGGTGTTGCCCTTCCTTGGGACTTGGCTCTCCTACGAAGTAAGGCATGTCGATGATCTCGATGTCCAGGAGTAATTAATCGACTTTCGAAACAGACGATGAACAACTTGTACGAAAGCAAAAAGTGCCGGCAACCTTACATGTAACTCTTATCCCCCGATCGGGATCGGCGATCGACATTCGAGGTCGTACCTATGCTCCGGATCTCGATGCTTGGGCTTCGCGAAATTTACGGTTTCCGAATCCTGTTGCGTATCCCGGAGTTTCCCATACTGACACCTGTTTGCTGTTGTACGTCCCGGTCAGGTGGTCAATTCGATCTTGACACTGAGGCGAATGCCCCATGCGTGTTCCGTAGAGAACCAGTCGACTCGACTCATGCCGGGACCCGAACAATCCTCTTTCCTGACCCGAACGATAAAGCTGGGTCAGAGCTCGACAATGGACGGATCACTCAAGCCCCCTTGAGATAGACGCCAAAGAAGCCAAGGAAATCATGTTCGAAGTTGCATACCCTGTTGAGGCCAAGACATGGGAGCCCTCTTTTGCCTCCTACCCGACTCCCCCCGATGCAGCCATAGATTTCCTGAACGATTCGCAAGTAAGTTCCGCTGACACTGATGTAAAGTGACAATGGAACGACTTGACTGACCTTGCGATTCCAGATCTATACTGCGCAAAATGCTATCTCTCTGAAGCAAAGCAGAGATCCGGACGTCGTGTCCAATCAGTCAAACTCCCGAGGTCTGCATGTCGATATCCGAGCACCTGAGACTGAGCCGGATGCTTGGGCTCCAGGTGCTACGAGGCTGCGTTATATGGTCAAGCATCTTGATCGGATCATCGTTTGCCCAGGTAAGTTTTTCAGTGCTGGTAATCCTAAGAATGACCACTGACGAGACTGGAACAGGAGTATATGATGGTCTCTCTGCTCGTATCGCACTTGAAACGGGCTTTGACGGCATGTACATGACAGGAGCTGGCACCACAGCGTCACGCCTTGGAGCGGCGGATCTGGGTATCGCACAGCTTTCGGACATGAGCTCCAACGCAGAGATGATTGCTAATCTGGAGCCTTTCGGACCTCCGCTCATTGCAGATATGGACACTGGCTACGGCGGTCCTCTCATCATTGCTAGAGCCGTCCAACAGTATCATCGCGCGGGCGTTGCTGCATTCCACATCGAGGACCAGATCGCTCAAAAGCGTTGTGGTCATCTCTCAGGCAAGGAAGTCGTAGACGTCGAGACTTATATCCAGCGTATCAAGGCTTGTGTCAGTGCCGCAGCACGTCTCCGCTCTGACATTGTTATCATCGCGCGAACTGATGCCCTGCAATCTCGTGGCTTCGACGACTGCATCACCCGCTTGAAGCGAGCCCGCGACGAGGGCGCCGACATGGGCATTCTCGAGGGTGTCAGTACTAAAGAACAGGCACTTCAGGCGGTCAATGAGCTCGCTCCTTGGCCTCTCTGCTACAACAGTGTTGAGAACGGCCACTCGCCTCTGATCAGTGTCGGGGAAGCCCAAGCCATGGGTTACCGTGCTATCATCTTCTCGTTCGCTGGGATCTCGCCAGCATACACAGCTATCAAGTCAACCTTTGACAGACTGAAATCGGAGGGTGTAACTGGCAGTGGTGTCACCCCAAAGGCGATCTTCCAGGTCTGTGGACTTGAGGAGTCGATAATGGTGGACACGGTTTCTGGAGGTAGTGCTTTCGCGAAGGGTGTCTAGATGCATTTTGGTCTTCTATGAAGGAGCTTGGTATTTTCTTTACTATATTGCAGAGGCATTGTGATCAAATTTAACTTGTGTCAACAAAACTACGATCTGACAAGTAGATGCCCAGGTCATAAAACGTGCCAACTCGTGAACTTTTGCGCCGCTGCACTGATTGCCGAAGAAACTCGCTAGGGATAATTGCTAGTGCTTGAATCTACGGCACGGCTAAGTATACCTATAACGTTTCCATGAATGGCAGAATAGTGGAAAGTAATGGAGTCGATGGCTTCCAGTCTCACGTGCATCACCTTGAGCTTGTATGTTGAACAACTGATTGCATGCGAAGAACATCTATATGAATGCTATAGATGTATCCATGTCCCAATGTAGTAGACCTATTTGCCATAGATCTTGATGCATTCTTCAACGGGTCTGTAAGTCTTCTCCTTATCCATCAGGGGACCAGACAGTGGCTTTCCGAAGACAAGCTGGGCCTTTGCTTGCCAACTCTCGGGAATGTTCCATTCTGCATACATCTCCTTGCCCATCATGCCCTGGTAGTGCTGAAGGTTGCAGCCAAGGCCCTCGGCTTCCAGAGCGGTCCAGACTATACGTCATGAGTCAGGAGAGTGCTGTTTTCGGGTGAGAGTAGCGATACTTACCAACGTATTGATGCATGCCCGACGAATGGTCGTACCATTCAGGGTTTTCTTCAGACATCTTGGCGAAACGAGGGTTGAGCTCTTTGATTGATTCCACATCTTCGAAGAACAAGACCTTTAGACTACAAGTCAGCGAGACAGATTTCGCGAGTAGTCCGTGAGTTGCTTACAGTTCCCTTTCCGGCCTTGAATCCCTGGCATTTCGGGATCAAGATGTCCGCGGCCATGGGCATACATCGCTGGATTGCGGCAGCTCCCATGTCCCACAGCTTGTCATGATCGTCTCCGAAGAGTACGATGCAGCGACAGGAACGGGCGTTGAAAGGCGAGGGTGCATAGCGGATAGAGTGCTCTACGAGAGAAACAATTTGATCATTGGAGATGGGTGAATCCTTGCTCAGCGAATAGAGAGAGCGGCGGGCTTTTGTTGCCTCAAGGAAAGAAAGCTTGTCAGCCATGTTGGTTAAAAATGTGGTAGCAGGAGCGGTGGCTAAATCGAAGATGAGGCAAGAGGCAGATGGAAGGAAGCTTTAGTGGATTGAGGCCAAGGGATCCGTCGGTCAAAATAGGTCGCTTGTTACGGAACCATTCCTCGGTCTTGCGAATCAAATGACACACACGACTCAGTCCGCGCGAGACCCGAACGCCGTTTGGTCCATTCAAACGTTTCGTCAATGCAGCTACGGTGCCCGAGGGTCCAGGTTATGACCCGAAGGATGCTACCGTGTTTGATTGGTGTCCGATAACTCTGTCCGAGCACTATACGAAGGCGATAAGGATCTGCCCGTGCCGCATCTGTGGACCCTGTCAGCACATGTTCAGGGTCTGGCCGTTGAGCCTCCTCCGTTCCTGAGCAAATCACTCGTGATAGAATGATTGGATACAGACTTGGCCCGGTTGCGCGTAACGAGGCCCACCTTGATGCCATAGATGTCCAACCGAATTGACTGCAGTAATTGCTCGCAGAATGCTCCTCTATTGGGAATGCCGAACGTCCAGCGTTCTTTGCGACAGGCTGAATCTAACTTTGCCCTTATTCGCGCAACGCTTGATAACGCATGCCTGTTTTTTTGCTGAATCAACCATGCTTTTCGAACATGCAGAAACATTCGGGGTCTAGCATGTGCTTTCAAAGCAGAGCAGCCTTGCTGATGGGCCTGAAGTGACCTTGAAACCTTTTGGGGGAATTCGTGTGATGAACATGGCGAGGCTGGCTGGATTCGTGCAGCGGGTGAACGGTGAGGTGCGGAAGCTAACGCGAGGAACGCACGGCTGAAGCTTGGATCAGCTGCATAGTGATAGATGAATCAACTCCACTTTTGTAATAATACGCGCCTACGCGCGTCAAGCGGAACATGATTGAGCAGGGAGCTGTGATGCGAACGCAGTGGGCTGTCTACCGTTCGAATGATACCGAGAGTATCGACTACTGGACTTTCACAGTGTGTTTTCACAAGAGGTTCGAGGCAGAACCCAAGTCAGGGGCGTGGACATCCTGCGTTATCCTGCGCCGTGGCTACTGTGGGTCCAGCAGCAGGCTGAATCCCTCAGGATCTGGTGGTGACTTTGTTGGTGGCGTTCAGGATCCAGAGCTTGATATGCTTGCCCTTTTGAATCCAAACAAGCTCGTACATTGTCGCATGGCCTGGAATCTACCACCCAGGCAAGGTGTTATTATGTCGCGTTGGAAATCTGCCGTCGCAGCGCGGAACGCCAATAGTCTATATAATCACTGCATGCGTTTGTCTCTGGGATTTTGCAGTGTACAGTTCGTTTCTCAAATTTGTTTCACATCATTCCTGTGTCACCACTTGGCATTTTTAGACCGTTTATTGCTTGGTTTGCTTGGTTTGCTTGGTACCGCAAACAAGCCTTCGCCGTGCTTGGTACCGACGGAGATGAACTCGGACACCCCAAACCCCGTCACCACCACCCTCTCTGGCAGATCTCGGAAGCTTCGCGCCTCATGCGATCGCTGTTCTGCTTCCAAGGTCAAGTGTGGACAGGAGCGTCCTGCATGTTTACGTTGCGTGAACAGCAGTCGACCTTGCAATTACAGCGTCTCACGTCGACTCGGTAAACCCCCCGCATCCGATCGCCATAGACCATCAACTCCAGCGTACAGATCTTCTGTATCCACTTCCCGGCACACCAAAAGCCCAAGATCGCTCGACGCGGACTCTGACCAGTCTGAGGCTGATGGTAGTGACCATCCCATGCGGGGAGATTCTAATGGTTTCACTCTCCATCTGTTGCCTACGATCGATCAGAGTCTAGCCAATTGCGTATACGACAGCACGCTATCGACGCCGCATCTTGAGATGGATTTGGAACAACTATTTGACTATCATGGATTGCAGAAGCTCGACCAGCTAGATAGCCTGAACACTTTGCACGGAAATCTGGCAGGCTCCTGTGATGGTTTCGACCTCTCTGATGTGCAGGCAACGGACTTGCACCTGAGCGACGAGCTCATGCTACACTACCAGTCTGGCACTGATAATCGAACCTCTTCCATCTCGAGTGACGCTGTTTCCTCTGTTGCTGAGCAACAACCTCTTATCTTCGCTGCCGCGACTGTTGCACTCCACCAACCGCAGATGAACCTACCGATCAAGGACTATAATCATCCAGGCCAGACAACGGATACAAGCATGTCATGTGCAACACTTGCACACAAAGTCCTCAATAGCTTGAGCAAGTACTCAACCTTCTGCTCTGCCCAGGCTCCTACTCAGGTATACTCCTCCGTAATCCGGGGGATTCCCAAATCCTGGCTCGTGCGCAACCCCGAAACTTCGTAGAGTGCTGCCCCGGATCTCTAAGATGTCTGTGCGTCCACGACGCGTCGCGTGAACCTTCTTGTTTTCGCCCCGATAACTCTCCTGCTAGACGTCTGTCTCTCTTGTATCGCATCCCAAGATAGGTTTTGCCATACCTGAGTTGCCATGTTCGATTCGAACCGCTTAGAGTCTCTCGGACTGCGTGTAGATCCCAATCATCACGCTCTCATATGCCTTACCTGCAAATGCGCCCTGCCAGTCACTGGTTCCTGTCTGACATCTCACTTGTGGGAGAAACATAAGATACCTAAACAGTCACGTGCGGGACTGTCATCCTACGTGCATTCACTGCACATCGTTGACCCTTCAGACCTACCCGTGCTACCTCATGGGTCTCTTGCTCATCCTGATCTGAAAGTCTTTCGCATCTACGCTTGCAAATCGTGTGGTCAGAAGAGCACCAGTCAGGATATCATTGGGCGCCATATGGCCACGAAACACCAACGAAGTCGACAAGTGTTAGACAAGCATACAGATATCATGCTTTGTCAGTCCTGGACATCCTCTCTGTCTAGCCGACAATGGACCGTTCACAATACGGCAACAGTCACCTGTCCAAGCCCGCTGGCTTCTACAAGCCGTGTTAAGGAGATACACGAAGAGGAGATGACAATGATTGCCCGACACCAGCAACCGCGAGTACTTGATCCATCCGACACTGGCTTAGCTGTGCCGGAGCTGACCAGCCCATAGATGAATCGCACCAGATGGCCAGAGGTTTATCGCAACTGTCAGCGTGACATCCTAGTGCGATTAACAGACGTTGGGCCTTGCTGGTTCCACAGTCGAGATGTGCGACTCGGCTGCCACGACAGCATAGACATGTTTAGCCCGGCACATAACGAGAAGAGGATATGGATACTCTTGCAAGCAGTCGACTAAGCTCTCGATCGTTGCGAGGAGACAATGCGAAGTACTGGCAGACCCATTCTTTGCTGGCTTGCTAGTACGAAGTCTAACGAATTCTGCCCTCGTCCATTCACGTTTCTTAGCCGAAAAGCGAGTCGTCAACGGTATCGCCGGTTGTGGAAAAGGTTTATAGCCTTTACTTTTAGACTCTACCATCTGCCAATCGCTACGCGGGAATCAGCGTTCGGGATTAGGCTCTTAGACGACCAACTGAAGTGGCTTAGCGAAGTCTGGGATGACCGATGCTAGAACCATGTAGAATTGGAAGGCGGTCCCATCAGCTATGGCAAAGAAGACGAAGAAGACTATAAAGTTAGTGACGACGAGGAGTGCGATGATGAGGAAGATTTACACTAGGAACAAGATGATGCAATTCCTAAGAGTGACGATGAGATGGAAGCACAGATCAATGGACTTTCTAACGAGGTAGACGGCACCCGTAAGCGAAGGATGGTGCCATCATCATATGTGGATTTGCAGAACGACATCCGAGTGGTCGAGTTGCATAAGACCAACATCTCCGTAAAGCAGGTAAGGGACAGGATTTTAGAGCTCATTTTCCGATTTAGTGTCTTCTTCGCTACAGAAGAGTTTACCGACGGCCAGACACACTCGAGCTTACTTGTTTACTACGCTAGGATCTTAGGTCTTTCAGCCGACGGAAGAACTTTTCGAAGAGCAAAAGACTACACTCCCCAACTCTCTAGACTGATCTACACGCAACGATTGCTTTTCCTAGAGGCTGCTCTTCCACACAAGGCATATAAGAACATTACCATTGGTTAGAGGGCTTAGAGTGCTCATCTAGAACGGCTAAATGAATTCCGTATGCGATACATGATACGCGGCTGCCTAAGTCCTTTCGGAGAGTTTTAGAGTCTTCGAGACTACGGACAAGTCATAGCACGAAGCGACCCTCCAGCGTTCATGTTTCGCTAGAGCGAAGATTACCAGACTCTTCATTATGGGGACGACTTCTTCTCTATTGAGCAACTCCGCAATTTTGCTTCGACAATTGTCAGCTCTTCGACGATGTTGTATGCAAGGTTAATGTACGACTGGCAGCCTGACTTTGACCTCAGGTCGATTAAAGACGACTTCTGTAACCTTTAAGAAGGCTTCTCGTTTATCGATCATCCTGGTAATAAGCTATCTAGTGCATACCTAGAGCTTCCCACAAGAGCATGTACGGATCCCGGCAATGGTTTGCTTATAGATGACAAATAGAACACGACTGCAGTCTGGAGATATCTTAAGCTCGAGGAGGAGCTGCTCGAGCTACTTCTAGCCATGTTCCACATCCTTAGGGGCCAAGCCCCTCGAGGCACAGAAATTCTATCATTAGAATGTCGTAACGGCCCTTCGACCGAGCGCGGGATATACGTGCATAAAGGTTCCGTAATTTATGTCACAAGACATCATAAAGCCCGCAAGATCACCAACAGGGAGTTTCACGTCGTTCGTTATCTTCCTTAGCAAGCGGGAAGAATCCTGTTCCTCTATCTCGTCTATATCCGACCGTTTGCCGAGATGATCCAACGTCGAGCTAAATTGTCGAATAATGGAGCATCTAGCAGGCTTCTATTTCGTACTTTGCAGGCTCCTACCCAATTATGGTCATCCCAACAGTTATCAACTATCCTCTAAAAGGCAGGGCAAGGGATATTCCGAAAGCCGTTCGGTGTCTAACTGTACCGTCATATCTCGATAAGCATCACTAAAAGGCACGTAAAAAGAGTGGCAGAGCCATTCAACAGACATGACGACAAAAGTGTTACAGCTGACGTTAACGTCGTGTTTGCATGGCAAAGTGGTCATCGTCCGTTATAGCGCTTAGCAACCTATGGGTTAGACGGCGCGTTTCCGACCAAGTTGCAGCCAGCTCTTCTAAGAATATACAAATGGGCTTCGTACGAATGGCATGACTTCCTATGTCTAGATAGCGCCAGACCAATCGCCGTTCGAGCGATGCTAATAAAAGCTCCAAAAACAAAGAGCAGGATTGCGGTTCCCGAAGCTACCACCACTATACAAGCAGCCATAACAAGGGAGACGCAAAGCCAGTTAACACAGCAGACTCTTCTTAAGCGAGTTTGCCCGCCGTCCGAAACAGAAGCCGTCTAGCGACCAAAGCGTTAGTGTATATCAAGATCCTTCCAGATTAATAGCATAGACGGATCTCAGAGTCTTAATGCCTGCATCAATCGTCTTGCTAACAAGTGGCCGGAAGAAGCAACGAAATGGCTGACTTGGGATGGAGGCCACAGCAAGTCGCCCTCTATGGACAGATTGCATAGTGTTATGAGCAAGTGGGCTCAGCGTTATAATCTTTGTCACTTCCGACGACGTTCGAAAACTGTTTAGATTTGCGACCATAGCATTGCAGACTATAAAGATTATGGGGCGGCATGGATCCGGCAGCAGGAAAAGAACTTTACTTCCTTGCTTGAAAGACATGTCGATAATTTAGCAGCAAGGTTCTGTGTTGACTGTTGCTTGCTAGGAGAATGGCATCTAGCGAGCGAGACAAGGGAGAAAGTGATGCGAAGGGGTCTTTTTGGGCTAACGTGCATATTCGAAGGAATAGTTGCTGAAGCCGTAGCCGTTATGTTATCGAATAACACTCTACTTAGGCTTATACAGGACTAAAAGGGAAAGGAGACAGAGTTAGGGATTCCTCACGATTTCATACGTTTAGAGTCATGGCTGACTAGTGCCTTACACTGGGGAGAGAATCCCATCCCACTGATGTTGAAAATCTTCTACTAATTGGCAGAGCTCACAGAATGGTGCGAAATGCATTAAGAAAGCTGACATAGCAAGTAGTGTAGTAACGAGTCTTGTTCGATAATATTAGAGAGCGTCTGTGATTAGTGATATAGTGTACTAAAGATTCAGTTCTAGTCGATACGTAATCCGTAAGCATCAGCCGAGGCTAACAACGACGACGACGACGCTTCATCTTTCGAGGATCTGGACATAGACGACTTGGACGAAGACGACTTCATTCTAATTGACTCTAGAAGTGTGAGACCCACGAATGTGGAAGGAGGGGGATCACAAACACAACAAGGACAACAGCAACAGGGTAAAGACGACAGCCGAGATGCTGGTATCATAGCCGTAGAGAGACTGGAGCGAGCTAGAAAAATCCCCAAACTGTCGAAGCGCCCGATATGCACAGAGATTAGCAGCAAAGAAGCGTTCGAAGCGAAGCTATCGATGTACAGAGGATGTTGCCCAGTCTGCACAGCGCGATCAGGTAAGACAGAACGTTCTCACACGTCATGGAGGGCTTGTCCGTTGGTAAAAAAGCTAGAGTTGATGGAGAGGATGGAAGCAATAGAGAAACGACTGGCGGGAATGCGAATGGAAGTGACATCCGGTTGCAAAAAGTGCTGGAGACCGTATATGCTATGTGAGCAGTACAGGCAGAGGCCAGGAACAGCAGGAGGAGGCTTGACGGAGAACAGATACATCAAGTGGGACAAGATATAGGGAGCGTGGTGTGGAGAAAGAGGAGAGTTCAAAGGAGATTAGCGAGTGAGAGATGATCTTTAAGGGATAGTTTTGGGATTATTGTTTAGTTCGAGGGATGAGGTATGGGATTGGGCGGTTGAAGATGGAGGGTTAGAGGAGGACAACGGCAGCGACAGCATGACAGTGATATTAGAATGGTTGGCGAGCAAGAGCAAGGCTGGGTTGAGGGTGAGGGAAGGATGGGTACAGAGTAGCAAATTATGTAAGCTAGTTTAGGCTTAGGGGTGAAGTTTTAAAGTTGGAAGTTTGAAGCAGTGAAGTAGAACCAGAGTGGTTAAGACAATGGAAAAAGAGTTAAGATTTAAAAGCCCATCTTATGTAGCCGTATCTAGGTGATGGAAAGGCAAAAAGAGACAAGAGTGAACAGAAGGAGGAAGATATGATATGATGAGAAAGAAGCCGGTTAACCCTGTAGGTGTCCTAAAGAATAGAGTTCAAGTGGAAGAGTTAAGGAAAAAGAGAAAGCATAGCTGGCCAACCCTACAGGTGTCCTAGGGGGGGGAGAAGAGAGAGAAAAAGTGAGGAGAAGAGAGAGAAAAAGTGAGGAGAAGAGAGAGAAAAAGTAAGGAGAAGAGAGAGAAAAAGTGAGGAGAAGAGACCCGCCTAACCCGTAGGGTGTCCTAAGGGAAGGAGGAGGGAGAGAGAAGAAGTAATAAGAAGAGACCCGCCCAACCCGTAGGGCGTCCCAAGGAAAGAGGAGGAGGGAGAGAGAAGAAGTAATAAGAAGAGACCCGCCTAACCCTGCAGGTGTCCTAAGGGAAGAGAATAGAGAGAGAGAGAGAGAAGAAGTAATAAGAAGAGAGGCAGGTAACCCGTAGGGTGTCCTAAAGGAAGAAAAGAGAAGAGAGCAAAGATAGAGAGAGGCGCGGGCAAGCCGTAGGGTGTCCCGAAAGAAAAGGAGAAGAGAGAGAAAAGATGATAAGAGTCCCACCCAATCCGTAGGGTGTCCTAAGGAAAGAGAAGGGGGGGAGAGAAAAATTGATAAGAAGAGACCCGCCTAACCCGTAGGGTATCCTAAGGGAAGGAGAGGTTATTTTTTTAAATTTTTAAGGACAGATGCCAAAATGGTAAGGCCCTAAGAAAGAAAAGAGGCGGAAAAGAGTAGAGAGAGATATAAGGCAAGAAAGAAGGCCTAGGCCTAAGGTCCCGTACGGAGTAGAGATCAAAGAGGGGGTCGTAGTTAGGAAGTTAAGGCGTGTAGGGATTAACCCGAGCGCGAAGCGCAAAGGAGAAGGCCCCGCGCCAAGCGGAGAGTTAAAGGGAGGACGAGGTTACAGGTTATAGGTTACAGGTCACGAAGTTAAGCCGTGTAGGTGTTAACCCGAGCGGTGAGCGCAAAGGAAGAGGCCCCGCGCCGAGCGGTGAGTAAAAGAAAGGACGCGGTAGGTAAGCCGTAGGGCATTTAAAGAGGAAAAGAAATGGTAAGAGAAGGGAAGGAAGAAGCCGGCCAAGCCGTAGGGTGTCCTAAGAAGAGTAAAGGGAGAAAAGAGGGTAGAGAAGAAGGAGGGAAAAGATAATAAGAGACCCGGCTAACCCGTAGGGTGTCCCAAGGAAAAGAAAAGAGTAAAAAGGTAGAAAAAGAAAAGGAGAAGAGGTCCGCCCAACCCGTAGGGTGTCCTAGGAAAAGAGGAGACTAGAGAAGAAGAACAAGATAAGATGCGTAGCGGCTAACAGGTGTCCCAGGAAAAGAGGAGACAAGAGAAGAAGAACAAGACAAGATGCGTAGCGGCCGACAGGTGTCCCAGGAAAAGAGGAGACAAGAGAAGAAGAACAAGACAAGATGCGTAGCGGCCGTAGGGTGTCCTAAAAGAGGGAGAAGTATACGTTAGGGTATGAGGAGTACAGATTAGAAACATGCGATTAGGGTATAAGGAGTATAGATTAGAAACATGCGATTAGGGTATGAGGAGTACAGATTAGAAAACCCGACCCCGTGGTGACCGTTATTAGGGCAGTAGGGTTAGGCAACATTCCATTCCTTTCTATATAGCTACATTCTGCTCTTAAATTAAGGTATACACATAAGATAAGGAAAAGTAGGTAAGGAAAAACCTCCAGAAATATACATAAGAGATGTGTTATAAGGCTAGGTCATTAGTTAATGCTATAGCCCATCCAGTTTCTTACTCGGAGGCGGATAAGGAGGACCGAGATGTATTTATCTAGCCATTTAGCAGTGCTAGGAGTAAAGGACCTCTATAACTCCTTATAGGTCTATAAGGTATCTTTTCCAAGCAGTCCGCCTTAGCTAAGGATAAATGGCTTAAATGCCTGGCTAAGTACTCGGTATTTATTCCTTTTAACTTGTTCTTCCGTTGTAAGGGTTGTATATGGATCTGCCTTTGCTTGTTCCTTTATAAGAGAGATTATTAATATGTCTAGGTGTAGGGTTCCTTTTAGATTGTCAATCCTAATGTCTATACGGATGTCTCTATAGTCGCCTCTTAGTTCGAGGAAGACTTTGTTGTCTAGGTTGGTCCGTAGGGCTGTTATAAGGGCTTAGCAGATCTTGTCGTGTTTCACTACCGTTTGTCTTGTCCTTATACGGCATGCATCCTCGTGTCCAAAAGTGTAGGCTCTATTGCAGTGTCTGCAAATGTCCTACCCATAATTCCACGAATAAAGAAGGCTTATTTATTTGAAAGTCCCATATAAAGTCATGCTAAGAAAAATCCACGAGAGGTCAATTTATTTGAAAGTTGTAGGACAGTTTTTTTGACGAAAATCATATCGAATAAGCCCAAAAAAATCACAGTTTGTAGACAGAATTTTGAATAATATTTTGGCGTTAGAGTTAAGTAGAAAATCAGTATGTTTGTGGCAGACCAGAGCTGGTCCCAATAGTGATGTTCCTACCCATAATTCCACGAATAAAGAAGGCTTATTTATTTGAAAGTCCCATATAAAGTCATGCCAAGAAAAATCCACGAGAGGTCAATTTATTTGAAAGTTGCAGGACAGTTTTTTTGACGAAGATCATATCGAATAAGCCCAAAAAAATCACAGTTTGTAGACAGAATTTTGAATAATATTTTGGCGTTAGAGTCAAGTAGAAAATCAGTATGTTTGTGGTAGACCAGAGCCGGTCCTAATAGTGATGTTCCCAGCAAGCGAGGTCAAGACAGCGTTGCGCCCGCAGGGCATAAGCCTAACCCCACAGGTTACAGGGTCAAGTTGGCCCAAGCCCACTAAACGCGTCCCATTCCACGCGCGTAACGCGCCATGCCATTAAACACATCATTGGCGATATCCATTACAACTATACAGATAGGGACAAAGTTATAGCAGCAACGACATAAGCATGGACAAAAACATAGCAGAGCAGGGTTTCTAACAGTTATTTACCGTACGAGCAGAGTACAAGATCATACAGTGCATCCCATGCTAATACGCGATTAACCCAGCAAACATACATGGGCATTTAAAGGACAAGCACCCAAAGGCCGTCGATCAGAAGTGCCGGAAAGGCATAGCCAGGTATGTCGCCGAAAAGATAGACGGTGTCGCATGGGACAAAGAACAGGTGATATACCCAGAGCCGAATTCACCGCCAGTTGAAGGGTTTCCCATATACCGTAATAGATATCGTTGCGTATTAACCCAAAATACCAGCAACGAGTGTGGATACATATGCCGTTCGATTCCAGGGATACAGGACCATTACAAAACCAAGCACGGATGGAAGAATAAGCAGAAACCCGGCGGCAATGTATACAAAAAGACCACACAGTCACCCAACCGTTTGTGGGACGAGGGTCAAGCATGTCAAACGTTTTTCGCGCAGCGAGCATGGCAGGTGTATTTCGCAGTCAAGCCAGCAGATCCCGTCCAGCCAATACCAGCCGGCCAAAGCACATGGAAGGAAAAAGTCCATACAACGATGCAGGCAAAGTTGGCAGCCGAAGCAGAAGAGAGAGCAACAAACCGCGACACCATCCGAGACGACGACAGCCGATTCGTGACTAACCTGTTTTTAAAAGCATTAAATTGCGCGACGATTTTACACGGCTAGGACCGGGAACGAATGATTATGGACAAAACCCCGATCGAAGCACGATCAAGACACCAATCCAGGCAACGCAGACCCCGATACGAGGACGAGCATTTGCCCGACAGCGATTTTGGGTCAGAACGTGCGTGTGCAGGTACGAAGCGATTGATCAGACGGTCGTTACAGTGTTACAAGCAGCACATCGTCGGCAGGGCGGCATTGTTTTTGATCAACCAAAAGCATAGCGGTAGTACCGGGCCCGAGAAGAAGTTCGAAAGCAACCACAGCGTTAAGACAGTACGCAAGTACAGTAAGTGGTGGATCATGATATTGTGTATTTTGTGGCGTACCTAACACAGAGAGATCCGACCGCAATATGTTTTGACAGAGGCCTAGACCGATGCGTTGTTGTATTTGAAGCGATTATGCCGCAACCAGGTGTCGGAAGACACGCCCGCTAACACACAGCAGGAAGACATAGCGAAGCAAATCGAGCATGCGTACATGGCATTTTAGTTGGCCATGTTAGATTACGACATCGGGGACAGCGAGCACAGTAACGGCATTATTAGCGCATTAGCGGTATTGGCTATCGACGAACGTAACAAGGGATGGAAGCCAGCCACATTATACACGCCCATATTGTCCGCCATAATCACCATTTCGCGATCAATGGTCGTTTATAAGGCATACGACAATCGAAATGCCATAGTGAAACGAATAATAAGAGCAGAGTTAATAAGCGAAGCCTAAGCCAGGCAGGCAGTACCGAGCATTTTCGATTAGGTCTAGGAGATAAGTAATAAGTTTATGATGTTAGCCGACAAGGACCATAAGCCCACGCCAATAGATTAGATGTTGCACATTAGAACGTTAGGTATGCGCATTAGATACACCACTAACGCACTAGGCACCGTCGAATGGCAAGGGAACGAGATCACCATTAGTTAGGCATTATTCCGGTTGGCAGATTTGAGATCGACCGTGCAAGGGTTATATAACAGCATACGCATCCAGTTGTTCTAGAAGGTGATTATGTTAGACGTAGACGACCACGGCCGACCACGATCAGGATTAGGAAGCCAATTGCCCGAGTTGAACATGGACGACATTAAAGACAATCTAAGCGATACGTGGTTAGACAAATTCAATTTTTTGGAGTATACCATTAACAAGTAGAGTGTAGATGGCAAGAATTGGTTGTTAGACCGGGTGATGGAGGACGACAAGTTAATTAGGCAATTCGTACGCACTACAGATGCATTACCCGCTAGCGAAGACGACAGCAACACCGCCATTCTATGGAACGAAGCCGGCATTAGCAAATATTTTAAGGCGGTCGAGAAGTTTAAAGAACAGTTGTTCGTTTTAGTCTATTTAATAGCCGGCGCCCCCGCCCGCGGTATAGAGAGTGTCACCGTGGTATATAAGAACGGCGTAGACGACCGCGGATACCGAGGAGTATTCGTCGACAACGGATTGGTATCATTCGTTACATCATACAACAAGACCAGTATTAAGGTCATTTACAGATTCGTGCTAAGGGAGGTGTCAGAATTAGTCGTTTATTATTTGTGGTTAGTCTAGCCATTCGTCAGAGCGTTACAGAAGATGGTATTCGACCAGAAAGAGTACCGAGCGTTTATTTAGGAGCCGAAGCCCGAAGAGCAGTGGCGAGACCAAGAAGACGAGGATTAGGATGAGATCGAGGCCGAGGAAGAGCGAGCAGACGCCGATTCACACCCAGACAACGCCAGCGATGACCGAGACTACGACCCCGACGACCTAGATTACGACACCGACAGTGACGATGATAGCGAAGATTTCGTCGAGGAAGGGGAGAGTGCAGAAGATGACACACCCTAGAAGCTAGCATTCACGCCTAGCAACCCAGATGGAGTGTATAGCACAGACAGATGCCGTCGATTGTTACAGGAAGTGACACGACACGGCATGGGTGCGCGCATCGGATTAGCCGTATGGCGAGAGGTTTATCTAGCAATCCACCGTTAGTTAGTGGAAGATGACAGCATTAGGCGAACATTAGACACCGCATTCGGCAGCAGCAAAGAGAAACGAAAGGACCAAGCGGCACAGGCAGAAGAAGCTAACACCGAGGAAGCCGTTAGAGCCAATCAAGCCGGACATTCGTTAAGTATCGAAGACAGCATGTACGGTCGAATGACTAGAGAGTCACCGTGGATAACGATGCGCGAAAAGGATGCATTCCGGAAAGTTAGCATCGATTGGCACCGTATTATAGGATTCCAACCAGTCCAGACCGAAGGACGTAACATAGCCAAATCGTTAGTAGACATGGAAAAGCAAGCGGAAGCGGACAAGTTCTAGCGATGGAGAGCATTCCGGCAAGCCGACATATTAGATGCGTTTAAGAGAATGATAGGCCCGGATGCCGAGTTTAGGGGTGTATAATTCGCCATTTTACGGGCGTTATAGGAAGGGCATAAGAATGTTTTAGGCATTATGCCTACCGGCGGCGGCAAGAGTTTGACATTCATGTTACTAGCCCGTTATTCGCCCGGCGGAGTCACCATCGTCGTAGTGCCGTTAACGGCGTTAGAGGGCGACATAGTTAGACGTTGTAAGGAGAGCGACATTAAGTATGCAGTATGGGACGCCGCCGGGGCCGCCCGAATGGGCAAGCATCGTATTCGTCACACTAGAGGCAGCGGTCGGACAAGCGTTTAAGCGGTTCATGTAACAGAAGAAGTCAACAGGCTAGTTAGACCGATTGGTGATCGACGAGTGCCACGTCGTGTTAGATTCTAGGCGGAAGACAGCCGACAAAGACGCATGGCGACCGGAGATTTTAGAGTTATATAAGACGGTCGAGCAGTTAGTGCAGACGTTGTTTTTAACAGCAACATTGCCGCCACGGAACGAGTTGGAGTTTTACGACAAGATGAACATCAACAAGCACGAAATCGTTAAGATCCGGGACAGCACGACACGTAAGGAGATTAAGTACCAGGTTGTCGATTACGAGGAAGAGGAGGAAGAAGAGGCATTACAACGCATGGTTGACGACAAGAAGAGATAATACCCCGGTAAGCAGATTGTTGTTTATTGTTCGAAGATCTAGGACGGCCAGCGATACGCCAAAACATTAGGTTGCCAGTTGTTCTATCGCGAGATGGGCACCGAGGCCGAAAGCGAGAAGTGGTTCGACAATTGACGACAGGGCAACAAGATGTGTTCGTAGCGACGAACGCGTTAGGTTTGGGCATCGACGCGCCAACGATCCGAGTGGTCATCCACATGGGAGTACGAAGATCGATGCGAGATTTCGTGCAAGAAAGCGGCCGAGCCGGGAGAGACAGACAGTGGAGCGAATCGATCATCATGAGATGGAAACGCACGCAGTCAGATGGCAGCATTGTCCGAGACAAGATATAGGGAGCGGAAGAGGCGATGAAAACATTTGTCGAAGGCGAGTGTTGCCGACGGGTCACAATAGACAAAGAAATGGATGGCAACAGCGAGAGAATGGCGTGCGAGGTAGACGAGCAGAGATGCGACGTGTGTGCCGGCAAGCCAAGGGGCACGAAACGAAGACGAATTGTAGTAGGTTATGGAATGGGCGAAGAAGAGGATGAGGATTGCCAGAGCCCCAGCGGCAGATCAATAGGGTCCGGATTTTTGGATTTAGGGTTAGGTTTGTTAAGTTCAGCGTACCGTGCAAGCACGAGGATGATATGGCAGGGTGGTGAAGAGGACGAGGAAGAAGAAGAGCAAAGCGAAGACGAAGAACAAGACGAAAACATCGATCCCGATTTACAAAGCGAGATACAAATCCCAAGGATGTCGAACAAGCGACACAAAAGCCAGCAAGCAGAGTGGACAGCAGCGCAGCCAGGCACAACGCCATCACGACCACCAGTAACAGAAGTTCATAACAGCAGCACAGTCCGAAGACATGCACCAAGAGGATTCATCACGCCATAGATGCGACAAGAAGCGTGGGAGACAAGACCAGGATTTCTATCGTCGTCGCCGATGGTTATACCATCATCGCCGCCGCCAGTGCCAACGTTAGTCCGAAACCCAGCCCGACACGCAGCCCAACACCCAGCACCGATGGCCGTCATGTACGCGCCGCAAGCACAGACAGAAGCAGCATTGAGATACGAGTTCCAGGCATTGTAAGACAGAGCGGAAATGGTTAAGAGAGGCAAGATGCAGCGAGAAGACGATGATATACGACGCACGGAGAAGTTAGAAGAGCAGTGTAACGAGTGGAGCAAGTGTTATGTGATTTGCAAAGCCAGCAGAGTCAGCATGACCGAAGACAACACAGATCATGCAGTGGGACACGATTGGCAGAGATGCAGACACAAGCACGCAGACAACATGCGAGAGGTTTAGGAGATGATGAGAGTGCAGATCAGGCGAACAGACGGGGTTTCGGGATGCCCGGATTGTTTTTTGCCGCAGAAGATTTGCAGATCATGGGAAGAAGATCACGCAAGAGGGTACGGGTTATATAAGCGATGCAAAGGTCAATGTCAGTATGCAGGAGTGGTCAAGGCGGCAGTAGCAGCGTTGTTGACGTGCGGGAGCGACGACGAGATAGCAGAGCGGGAGGATTGGATCAAGGAGCGACAAGGAATCAGAGGATATTCGCAAGGTATAGAGTGGATGAGGGAAAAGGTGAGGATTGGAAGGTACGAAACGAACGAGATGTGTTGGTTTTTCAATGTATGGGGATAGCGTAGATAGTATAGACAGACAGTGTAAGGGATGGAAAAATCAAGAAAGAAGATAACAAGAGATAAAAGATGAAGAAGTGCATATTGAAAGTGGTAAATGATAGGACAGGAGTGGTCAGGAGGAGTTAGATAGAGAATTTTGATTTTTTTAGGTAATGAATAGGATAGGGTGGTGGAAATAGCAGGCAAAGAGGGTATAGAAAATCGAATTTTAACAAGTTAGTGAGGGGAGTTTTTGGAGAGATAGGGACAGACAAGAAGGGTATAATTTAGGTAGTAGATAGGGTATAAGCATAGAAATTGGTTTTATTTTAAAAGATAGTAATTTTCCAAGTGAAGAATTTAGGCGTACAGCAAAGCCAAAAACCAAGGTGAAAACCATTAGGTTTAGGGCCACATAGAAGCGCTAACAAACGACAAGAGTATATAAAATTTCGAATAAGGGCAGATTAAAATATGGATAGCAGGCAGAAGAGATGGGGGAAAAATAAGATAACAGAACGATATATAGATATAATGAGAGGGTGTAAGAAAAAAGGACAGGGTGAGCAAGATAGCGTGGTGTAAGAGCAAAGTTTAAACAAGTAGATCAAAACGGATAGTGTAGCGATAGATTTGGGAAGCAAAGCAGATTAAGTAGAGCATATAGTAATGTAGTTTAGCACAGGGTCAGAGTTTGCAGGATAGACACAGGGTTAGGGTTCGCAGAATGGACATAGGGTTAGGGTTCGCAGGATGGACACAGGGTTAGGGTTCGCAGGATGGACACAGGGTTAGGGTTCGCAGGATGGACAGAGGGTCAGGGTTCGTATAGTGTATAGAGAAATAGGAGATGTTA